TTAACTTAAGTAATTAACTAAAGTAAACTAAATAAAGTAATAAACTTAAGTATAAAAAATAAAATTTACTATGGATGTTTGTTTTAGGGTGTAGCTAATTAAAAGTTTAGGCATAGGCTGCACTTTACTTTAGGTCCTACACTCATCCTAAATACATTATTATTTGCTTTCTTCGTCTCTATTTCGGAACACATCACCTTATTTTAGTTTCCTTCATCTGGTTGTTTTATAATATTTTTAATTGTTTTTTATTTAGGTTAAAGCGGCTATTTGCCATTGCACTGAAAGCATATCGTAACTTAAATTAATTTGATCCCTTTATTAGGCGAATGGTATTCAAACAAACTATGATATTGTTTCTCTCTACCACAATCCTTAATAAATCATAGGTCTAATAACAATTAATTATCTTATAATAAGTTCAATTAGTATGCCTAGTCTATTTCAAACATTCCAACAAGAATAAAACCCTTGATTAAATAGTCTAGTATTGACACAGTAAATAAAATTAAAATGCGATTATTCTACAGAAAACAATCGCATAATTGGGTGCTAATACATTGACAACAAATACATAACCTCTAAATCGCAATTAGTAAATTAAAGCAATAACAAAACAATATGGCGTCGTCTCAAAAAGAGTAATTTTTTGCCGAAAGAGAGGAAGAAGAAAGTGCAGTCAACCTCCACTCAACAGCTCGATAGGGGGTCTGACTTAGGGGAGGTACGAATGAGGCATTCGTTCAAAATTCCTCCGTGAACAGCGCTGTAGTAGAGAGTACTTTGGCAAAGAAGGTTTACTAATCGCAAAAATAGTTCTGTTCATAAAATAAAATTATAAATGCCTCAAATTCAATTTTATTATTTTTTTAATTATAAAATTAAACTAGCATAACCTAACCGAACTAACCAAACTTGCTGATAATGAAATAATATAACAAAAGTTTATTAATAGAAAAAATAACCGAAAATAAAAATAAATAAAATAAAAATAACCATTATTAAATAAAACTAGAAATTGCTCTACTAAAATTTTATAATGACTTAATAATAAAATTAAACTGTCATAACCGAACCAAACCAACCAAACTTGCTGATAATAAAAAAATCTTGGACAAAAAGTTAATGCCACGAGCGGGATTTGAACCCGGGACCTTCAGTATACCAGCCCGGCACGCTAACCATTAGACCACCGAGGCCGATGACTACTGCGCGTTTAGTTACGGTAATGGCGTTCCCTCAGCTAATAAGAAGCCCACAGCTGTCATCGTAGCCTCTTCTATACCTCCCCTGAGTAAATACCCTCGATAGGTGTTGAGTAGTTTTGGTTGTATAAGTCCACCGTCAACCGTTTCAAAAATACGAAACGATTGGAAATAGAATGACTCGACACTCAACTCAACAGTCAACCATTTCAAAAATAGGGCCCAGTTGTTCTGTGATGAGGAATGCGAAGCGTGGACAAGCCAGAGCAGAGCGGGTAGTCTATCCCTTGAGCCTCTTCCATTCAAAAATTTAAAATTCTTTTCAAGATAATTTGGAATTCCAAGATTGATGACAGAATGACTAATGGAAAGTATTTGTATTTTTCTTATGTCCTCTAATTTCAAAACTGATTCATTTTTTTAAGGGAGAGGAGGGAAAATGCTTTTACGCACACAGGTAGCCAGCCTGTAGTGTGAGACTCCTGAATCTATCACAGACTACTCACTAAAAAACCCCCTCTACTCTGTTGGACACAGACCTGGAACTGTTTGTCACATTACTTCAAGTCAGGCCAACATGTGACCTAAGCCCTCAGGGCTCTCACCGTTTTTGGCATTTGGATACTTCATGATCTACACCGCATCCCGGTCAAGGTCGAGCTTCTTGGCGCGGAGAATACCCTGGATGTAATGTGACACACAGGTCCAATTGTCCTCACCCTCCGTCATCATCGGTATGACCGTGTCCACCGAAAGCAGTCCTACTAACTGTTGAGCCTCAAGGCGGGGCCTTTCCCAACGCTGGCAGTGGAAAAAGGTATGTTCCACGTCATCGGGAATGCATGGGCAGTATATGCAATCGGGCTTTGCCCATCCTGAACAGGTACGACCGGAAAAAGCCGTGACCCGTCAGAAATTGGGTGAGGTAGAAGGCCACCTCTCCGCACCGCCGATTAACCCAAGGTTGGACTTGCTTTATCAGTCGCCTGGTCCAGCGTCCCCGAGTCTCCTGTTCCCAGCTCTCCTGCCACAGCACGTGCCTGGTCCTCCCCATGGCGCTGATAAATTGCTTTTCTCTCCGCCGCCAAAAGTTTGACGGGGATGACTCCAGCAACCACCAGGACGGCGGGTTCGGACACTGTTCGGTAGGCGGATGCAACTCTTGCTGACTGGCGCTGCACTCGGGCGAGCCGCATCCTATATACCTCCTTATTTAGAGCGTCTGCCCACACCTCAGCACCGTACAAGAGTACGGACTGGACAGAAGACATTAACAGCCTTCAAAATTGATTCATTAATGTAATAGGGTGTGACATGATCATCACGTCTAAGATTGAACAAGAATCTAACACAATAATTTTGTAAAAGTTGCAATTTTGTTGCAAATCGTTCTATCCTATATACCTACTATAGACATTGAGTATATTCGTATATACTCAATGCTATAGATTTAGGATTGTTATTCATGATTTTTCAATCTAAACAGTTTTATTTTTATGTTGGTATACTTTGAGACGAGGGAGGTTAAGTGAAGTAGGATTGGTAGGAATGAAGAGAAGAGAAGATGAAGATGACATCGTCGTAGGCGTGAGATAGTGATGGGCGATACGGACGCGTATCGCGATACAGCGATACGACACGTATCGGAAAAAAATATCGTATCGCCGTATTGAATCGGGCGTCTGTATCGCGATACGCGAATCGTATCGTAAAAATATCGAAAAAACGATACGTACCGGTATCGTATCGTTTCCCCCCCTCCCCTACCTAACCTAGAAACGGCAAATTTATTTAGGCACCTGGGGACCGAGCTTTGCTCGGGGAAAATCATTAGTTTACTCTGAAACAGTCTTAGTATTGCAGATTCATTAATTCATTCCCACACTACTCCACACTGATCGCCTTTACTACTTCCTTCACAACTCCCTACGTCTTGGACCTGTTTCCCTTTCATTCCCATAGCATTTTAGGATTGCAGATACATAAAATGTAATTGCCACATACAGTTGACAGTTCCCACACTCTGCACTGCACTGCTAGGCTAGATAGAACGCTAGTGGAAATGGACTGGAGACTGGACTGGGATGGGACTGGTACATTATCAAGTAAAACCCAAAAATATAGACGCTAGTGAAAATGGACTGGAGGAGACTGGACTGGGATGGGACTGGTACATTATCAAGTAAAAACCAAAAATATAGACGTCACAAACTCCTATTTCAAACTACACATCCACAGACAGAGTACAGATTTTGCAGTTTGCTCGGCCTGCGCAAAAAAAGCTTAAAAATATTGTTTTGACATGAATCGTATCCAGTGTTGCCACTTTTAGGGTAATTACCCTTTTTTAGGGTAATTTACTGGTCTTAGGGTAAAGTTTAGGGTAATGGTAGATTTAGGGTAATTTTAGGGTAAAACTAAAAGTTAGCATAACAATGGAAATTTTACTAAAAAAATGAAAAAACTTAAAAATTTGGCAAAAATAGTTATTTGTGCAACTAGTGAGAAAAGTGAGCAATTGACTCACTCGAGAGAAATCCTTACTCACGAGCCGTAGGCGAGTGAGGAATGGTTTCTCGAGTGAGGCAATTGTACTTTGAACTCGAGTTGCACATTATACTTTTCCTACAGTTACCATAAAACAAATAAATTGGTGAAGAAACATAACCTATTTTTACACAGAAGTGAACTTTTAACATAACATTTAATGCGAAGTGACAAATACAACAGTACAACAGCTGACCAGCTGATTTACAGCCAGTGCTGCCAACGTATTTCGCGCGCATGCGACCTTGTCTGCATGTTACGCGCTCACTATTTCGTGCCTTCACGTTGCAAATCTGGAGTGAGACAAAGTAATTAGAGTGAGACAATGTTAACATTGTCTCACTGATGAGCGAATTGGCCACTTTGCTTTCTCAAATCAGTGAGAGAACATGTACATTGTTAGGTAACTGTAGGAAAACGTTCTTTACATACTATGGCCAAACCACCATATTCGATTCGACCGGTTTAAATCGATTGCTATAATGAATTTTTCATAATAAGTTATCCTAATCGATCTTAATGGGAATTATCTGTTTTAGAATGTATTCGATTCTATAACACGTTATAGGCCTAATAAAATATGAAATATTATTCGTTACTGGGTTTGATATTTAATTATGTGATTGAATTGATTTAAACTGGATTATTTTACAAATTGTGTCAAGAAATTTGTACTATGTATAGATTTAAGCTTTGGTGGTACCGTACTGTATTTTAAAGATATGATTGACCAAAAACAGTAGTAATGGGTCGATACAGTAAAAAAATACGATAATTCTTGATTCGATATTTTTCGTTATACGATAGTCGATAGAGCTGATCAATATCAGCATTTTGTTCTTCTTTCGGGTGGTGTTTTAGAATCGAGAATAATTTGACGTAAAATTGATTGATATTGGAACTTCATTTAGTATAATTAACCACCTTATGTAAGATTTATATGATTTTAACAATGTTTTATAGCATTAAACGCAAATATTAACATTTAGGGTAATTTTTAGGGTAACTCAAAGTAGATTTAGGGTAATTTAGGGTAATTTTAGCCCGCCTTTAGGGTAAAATCGCAACAACGCGGTGGCAACACTGATCGTATCGCTCTATCTGCCGATATAAATACAAATATCGTTTTAGGCGATACGATACGTATCGTTTTTTAAATATCGTATCGAAACATCGTATCGTCCCTCGCGTATCGCGATATTCCGATAGGATACGATACGTATCGCACATCACTAGCGTGAGAGTGGGTGAGCTTAAGGAGCTGTCATCATAAAGATCATAAGTCATAACATTGTAGAAAAAATTATCATTAAAGCTAATATTTTGGCTTTATAAACCTGAAATTTTGTTTTAGGGTTTTGTAGGAGTGAATATATAACATTTTCGTGTGATGTTTCCTCATTTACCAAACTAGTCAATGGATGCATTTAGTTGGTAAGTTTGAATTAATCATTTGTTTTTACATATAACCTTGATATAGGCCTAGCCTAATATTTTAAATGCCATACTAACCAATAAATATGTTACTGTACCTAACAATCCTTCTAGTTTTTTACTATTGTATTTCATTAGAATAGTTTACTTTTTACTGTGCACCTGATTATTTTTATTTGAAATTAACTTAGCTCAACAGCTATCACATAGGCCTAACTTAGATTAATTTAAGTTAGTAGGATGGGTAATTCATAAAATACTTTGGCCCAACCCTGGTTAAGATTAGCCCTGACCAATTTTTTTTTGTAGGCTAATTAGGTACGCAGAAAATACGTGGATTAGGCGTCCGGCAGTTACTGTCAATGAAGGTTAAATTCTGTTCATAAAATAGGCTAAGTTAAATTCATAAATACCAAAAATTCTAACAAAAGGTGTATATTTAAGAATAAATGGCATTCAAAGCAAAATCTTTGAGAAAAAGTTAAAGCTACCGATGAGATACAATCCAAGGACCACTTTAATATCAGCCGAGCAGTCTATCAACTACACCATGAACACCGATGGCTGTACATCGTATCGTTGTGGTAATGGCGTTTCGGGCCCCCACAACCCGGTGACGTCATTGCCAGACGCCTAATCCACGTCCGGTTATCGGACGCATATCCTCTGTGAATTAGGTAATTATTTAAAAAGGCCTAATTAACTTTTATGTGAATCCCTTGGTCAGTCATCCAGTTTAGTGAGAGATGGACCAAGACCTACATGCATAAGAAATTTCATAGAATTCCAGCAGGCATAAGGGAAATTGGAGATGCTGAAAAGTTTAAATCTATAGGTACTTAAAGAATATCTAACAACTAGGCCTTACTACTCAGTAGAAGATCCTTTGAATCAAGAATATGCCAAAACTATGACGACCATGGCACACCTGTGCTACCAATGGGATAACTAAAAGTATCAAGTATTAGCTCAGACTTTTTCCTCTTAAATCTGGACTGAACATCTTAGGGGTAAAAATGTTCATAACATAGGGAAATAGTCTCAACCGAAACCTCTTTAAACAACTAAGATGTCAAACTAATCCAAACATGTGTTATGACCGTCTAGTTTAATCGCTACATCTGGGTTAACAAGTGGTTGCACTTTAGTTTAGTCCTACATTTACTAAACTTACTGTAATATACATTTACCAGCTGATTATAAAATGAAACTATTCTAAACAAAACCTAACCTTAACCATAGACTATGCAACATAAGTAGACTTCTCATCCCATCGTAAATTTTGAGGCTTGTTTTTCGTGTCTAGTTTATGTATGTCAACACTAATCGCTAGTGTATATACAATTTGTTTCTGTTATTTTAGGGTTATTTTCGAGATTTGTGCTTTACTGTTTCGTTATATTACTAGGAGACCAGAGTTTAGGGCCGGCCCCAGGGGTGGGCGGACCGGGCGGTCGCCCAGGGCGGCGGGGCCGGGGCGGTGGAACTGGGGCGGCAGAGCCAGGGCAACAAACAAATTTTAGGGAACAGTAAAGTTTTAATACGAATAAAATATTAAATTCATTAAGTGAATGTGAAGAGTACAATTATCTATATTACATTTTACGCAAAGAGCAAGCCTAAGAAGATAAACGGCAATTCAAACATTGATTTAAAATTATAATTCAAGCCCAAATATAAAAACAAACCACTCGGCTTGTGTATCAAAAAACCGTCACCACCACGTTACAACGTTACCCAGGACGAGTTACAGCGTCAAAGCAACATTGCAGCGGTTGGGATTGACCTCGACGTATTCGTCTCTCTCTCTCTGCCCCCTCCCACGACTTTGTGTTTACTTTATTATTGATTATTTTGGTAGCATGGGCTTCCCTTCCCTCCGAGAGAGAGGAGTTGCAAAAATTAGATATTTTGCAACTTTTTATCTTAATAAACAATGTCGTAATTTGCTTCAACAATTAATAACATTGCCGTTTTGGGAGAAATCCAAGATGACCGAAAGTCCTGCCGACTATTAGGTCAGATTTTAAACAAAATCCAAAAAACAATTGATATCTGCAACTGTAAATGTAAACCAAGCGTATGAAATGAAAATAATTTGAAAATGTGCAATTTACACTTAGAACCCTTAGTACATAATTAAGTCAGAGTTCAGGGAGACACCATAATTCGGCAATCGCTCAAGGAAGGGGTGGATGCCAGGAGTAAACAATTAGGCGGGATAGTGGCGTAGATACAGGGGGGATCAGGGGGATATGTCCCCCGTTCAACCTATAATGGGTAAAAAAATTGTAATAACATTTTAAAAATAATGTTTTAACGTATGCAATGAAATAGTGAACCTTTTTAATTTTACTTCTATTGTATTAAGCGTGTTTTTCGAAAGTATACTTTCAATATCAATAAATCGTAAATAAACTGCAATGCCAGTGAAAGTAGTATGGTTTTTGCGCGCGAAACAGAGTACAGACACAAGTCACGGAAGGTCAACAGCCCTTCCCCCTACAATCACCACTTCACCTTTTACACCTACCTGAAATTAATCGTTTTAACGTGAGTTTTAACGATCCTATTGTACTAAGCTTGTTTGTTTGTTCGTATACTCTCATTAGGTATCGATGAATAACTGGAAACAGATAAACTACATGCCGGTAGCAGTGGTGGGATGGGATATTTGCGCGCCAAACAGACGTGAATCACAGGACGTTCCGCGTTCAACCACCCATCGACACCCTCCTTCTCTACCACGTCACCCAACACTAAACATAAGCCTGGTGTTAATTATAGTGCCAGTGTGTTTTTATGATTTTCGTATTCCGTGGTGTCCCATGAGTGTTATTTTATGTCGAAACAAAGTAAACTGATCGGGTTTTTCGCCCCGAAAAGGAAAAATTGATGGCGTTAGCTGGTGTGGCAATGGAACAACGAAGTTAAGTGATTTTATTACCCGCCTTTGAAATACAATTTTTTAAATAGGCCAAGTCCCGTTAACATATTAGTCAAAATATTCAGTGTTAAAGGATAGAGAAACATAACGTTAAATGTTATCATATAACGAAAAGCCTAGCCTAAGTACTTAAAAAATAAATGTAATAAAAACTAGTCCACATGCAATTAAAGCAAAAAGTTTAATTTCATAAGTACAAAATTGCATAACTTTTATTAAGTATTAACACCAGATTTCACTTCCTAAACGCTTAAAAATAGTGTTTAGAGAAGTAATTTTTCTCAAATTTTCCGGGGGAGTGCACGGACCCCCTTACTCAATGGGGGATATTCCATGCCCCCCAGACCCCCCGGGGGGCGGCGGTCGCCGATCTCGCCCAGGGCGGCAAAGTCCCTCTAGGGCCGTGCCTGCCAGAGTTATTGTTTATGATTTAGATCATTTATTTGGCTAAACGAGGTTTTAAATCACTGAAATAACAAGAAACAAATTGTTAACAAAACACTACCTCTACAGTCAGACGTAGGCTACAGAAATAACAATAAAATTGGCTTCAGCTGTTCCACAAGGATGACAATTCTACTAAGAGAGTTAATGTTTTATCTATGCCTTAACAAAACTGCAGTATGTGAGTATATATAGGACGTAAACTAAAGTGCAGCCCTTTATCTTGCAGTCCCCTATCTGTCTGACACACTCCTAAAGTTATGTCTGTGGAGCTTTTCTATTGCAAGTTGGAGTACAGTTCCGCAGTTAACTTGCAGTGTGCTATCGAGACTATATAAATCACGAAACAAAATTTTTATCTCATAATTTGGCACATTTGGATCACTTCATTTTCCCTTGACACGTTTGGGATGAACACATATTTCACCCTGGATTTTTTTTAAGTTAAAAACATTAAAATCTGCTGAAAATCAGCAATTTTGTTTTTTTAGAAAATATTTTTTCTTTAGTTTCTTGTTATTTTGGCCGTTTTAAACCTTTTTCCCTCTGGTAATTTTGGAGCAAATGTTGTTTCCATCCTAAAAATAACAGAAACTGACTTCTTCAACTGCAGTGCCACATGTTTCAAACATGTGCAACTGGGTCAGCTCGCTCCCACTGGATGATTGAAAATCTGTCCACTCCATGCAAGCCTAAAGCCTATGAATGTCACAATTTTGAACATGTATTTTACTTGTAGTTTGTTAAATTGAATTGCAGAAACCCCATAACTAAAAATTTTTGCAGTTGCGTGATTTGTTCACCAAAGTTCTGATAATTCTTATATGCCTATATAATTTGTTATTTTTATTAAGTTTTAATTAATTATATTTTATGATTTGCCTAATGTGTTTGCAGAGATGATTGAATTGATGTTAAATACATGGTTTGATGTTTTGTTACTCATCTCATACCTACTGTAGTACAGTATTATTGTTATTTCTATTTTTAGGCCAATTATCATTGTTATTTATTTATTATTGAAGCCAAAAAGTTGCATTTTGTCCGTCAATGGTTCCTACATCAATGGAGATCCTACAATGGTTTGTCCGTCAAATAAATAAATACAGTAAAAGTAGCCAAGTTTTATTAGATTTTATATTTGATTGCACAGCCAATAGATCCTCTCTTAAATTACCCTGGAACAATGACCGCTTGAATTAAACTAATCTGCCCTCGCAAATAGAGGTCGGTTGTCCACATTAAATTTACAAAATTCGTTAAACTGAACTTGTATGAGAGCCACTGGTAAGCAAACTAACCAGAATCATCTTAATTTGTTTTTAACCAAATTCCTCGTAATCAGAAGCTTTTATTTATTTACTGTCAACGTCAACAGTCAGCATCATTTACAGAAGAGATAAATTGACATATACTCTAGATAACCATTACAAACACAATCATTTTATTTTTAGACATAACGCAAACTGTTTTCTTTCAACTGTTTACCCTGCCACCTGGAAACCAACAATTAACAGATAATGTCAAAAAATTCATTACTCACAAAATATTATTTTTGCAGTTGTTACAAGTTAAGAAGCCATCGTAAAGTGCTGGTACCTCTGTCAAGCTGTTTGTTGGACACACTAACCATTTCATTCCGTTAACCTTCACCTCTAACCTAGATAACGTTTATCAGTTCTTCTCAAATTCAATAACCCTCATCCTCATAAGTCTTTTTAAGTGTACATAACAGCTAATTATTTTCAGGTTTTAATTCTTATAAATTTTGAATATCAAAATAACTAGAATTTTTTTAGATCATTTGTTGTTTGTTGTTTTACAAAAAAATAATGTAGGCCTAAATCAATGATGTAAACTTAAGAAAATAACATTAATACTCAGACACAATATATCTCTAGATGTTTAGCTAAACTATACAAAATTTGAAAACTCACACCCTTGTTGATTTAAACAAAGATCAGTTGTACTGTGAGTATATTTTTTAAGGTTTTAGAATTCTTAATTTCATCCGGAATCGATTGATGGCTGTATTTTTTTTACCTTTGACAACTTCAAAAATAAAAACTTAATTTTGGTTTTTAGAATTGAAAATTTTCATAAAAATGTACCGTATAGGAAAAATAAGATAATAATCTCCATTTGTTAAATTAGTTGATTTTTTTACATGTTTTTGTAAAGTTTTAAAGTTCACAAACTTAAATGTTATTGAAGTTCATCATGTCATAGAGACTCAAGTAAAAAAATCAAAATATCATCTGCAATTTCTTGGCCATATAGGCGATCCTAAAATTTGAACGATACAGAGAAGCAGCATAGTGTACCTTGGTAACCTAGGCATGTGTGCACTGTGCAACAATCTTTCTGGGTAGTTATCATGTCAAATCTCATAGGCCCTAATTGATTTGTTTTGTTGGCAGGTATGCAGCAGAAACGATTCCACACCAGAAAACCTGCATGACCAAGTCTGTGCCGCTGTGCAGTCTCGCCAACCTTCAGCTCAGGTTCTTATGCCCAGCTGATCTACCCGAGGTAGGGTTATTTCATCAAGATCAGTACACGTTAGATTGCCTCGTCAAAGATCAGAGTTTGGACCCTTCTCTAAAATCATTTAAAACAAGAATGACGTTAAGACACGTGAAATAAAAATAGAATTAGTAACTCAATGCAGGAAATGTTTTAATACTGTAAGGCTTCTACTAAAAGTTAGGCTAACTACTTTTAAAGTTTGCTTATGTTAGGTTTTACCTTTGAATATGGATATAACTAGACATTCCATTGCCATGTCAACCTTACAATAAAATGTATGTAGTTGAATTATGTCAACGGCATGGTGTGTTTATGTAATTATTACAGAATTCTGTTAAATACACCAACATTTTAGTTTTTACCAAATCTAACAGATAGGAATTTCTATTGTAAGCTATAGGCCTACTATCATTTATGTCACTTCAATAATTGAATATATTAATTATTATCAGAATAGCAAAATTAGGGAGAAAATAAAAGAGTGTAACTGTGTTATAATGTATCACACTTTATGCGTGGCTCATTTAGGAGAAAAATTTGGTCTTTTTTGTACATATAGATGGGAGGTTTACTTCAATATGTAAATTCAATAAGTTTACCAACATGTAGATGGGAGGTTTACTTCAATATGCAAATTTAATAAGTTTACCCATATGTTATAAACTAGCTGTGTGCCCGTACTACGCACGGGGATCTTATAGTAGTCAGTTGAAACCTTCTTATATTAAGAACAGCAGTTGGTTTGCATATTTTCAGATATGCTGGCAAAACTATTATTTATAAACCTTCACAAATACAGTATCTGACAGTTTCAAGCCTAAACAAATGCTTCGCAATTAAATGTCATCCGGAACGTGTTGGTCCATATGTTAAATCCAATGATTAAACTAAATAAAGCTTTATAGGCATAGATCTATGAGGCATAGCCCTAAGGTAGGCCTGGTAGTTGAAAGTTACTACAGTGAGTAGGAACAGAAAGTGACACATTGGAAAAGCGAGTTTAGCATCATCCATAAATTAATTAAATCCTTATGTAAGAAAAACGTTTTAAATCTCACTTGGTTGGGATTTGCCTTCAAAACGTGATCCAATGGTTGAGGTATTTGTAAACAACATTTGTAAACATATGTGACAGCTAGAAAAATAACCTTGATCCGAACAGCTGATTGTTATTTCATAGATGATTATGTGATAAAAATTGGACGAAAACTTGACAAAAATCGCACAAAACTGCATTTTTGAACGTCCATAATTTTATTTACAAAGTAGTGAGGCAATATTTTAATGGCTAAAGACACTCTCACCAATCCAGTGAATACATTAAAATGACTTAAATCTTGATAGGTACTCTCGTTTTCCTGGAGAAGATTGCGTAAAATGCCATCTCGAGTGTTACAGACAGACAGACAGACAGAAATTTAGATGAGACTTGTTTCGGATTCTTTAATGTATAAAACGTAAAAATAATCTAAAAATTTATGATTCTGAGCAATGTACAGACAAAACTCTAATTTTATTTAAGTATATACAGTCTAACCTTGATATAACGAACCTCGATACAACGAATTCCTTGATATAACAAATTTTTTTAAATCCCCTAGAACTCTCCATAAGACACAATGTATATTTTACCTCTACATAACGAACAAACCATAACAACAACCTTGATTTAACGAAATTTTCGTGATTTCGGCTAAAATAACACACCTCAATATAGCGAATTTATCATTGTCAGAACCTCTACATTGCGAATTTAACCTCTGCATAACGAATTGTCTACGTCTTTCCCTCGATATGACAAATCCCCCATCCCTTTATTGTTTTTGAAAAATCTGTTTCTTTATCAAATGAAATGGAAAGGTGACGTCATCGCTTGCGTTAACATTTGTCTGCTCCGTTTTAAATTACGTGGTTTTACACATATCTGTCTGCTTTCGCTGCGCGCGCTATGTTGCAACTGAGAACTGATTTCATTCACTGAGGACTGATGACGACGTAACGTTTAGTAAGCTGTGATTGGGCGATAAGTAACTATGGTGAATTGTACAGTTTTTGGATGAAGAGAAACCTAAGAAAGAATATAAAAACAAAACCAAAGAGAAAGAATAGCAACATCGTTATTTTAACATTCCTTTTTCGAGTGTTATTATTATCTTTAAGTTGGCTATGATTATACACTTTTATAATGTCTTATCTTATAATTTACTGTATTGTTTTCAATACGATTTGTTTCAACTAGCAACACCAATGCTATAGTTAATGTTTATTATTGACATTCCTCTGTTGTGATAAATCAGTACTGTACTGTAGCCTACCGGCCTATCACGAGCAGTAGCTTACAAAACTTTCTACTACTGTTTTGTTTTGTTCTTTACATGGTTTATGACTACGCAAACAGTGTTTGGCTAGGTTTTAGGAGGGTTAGAACAAGCTGTGATTTTAAACTTACAGTTTTTTAACCTGTACCAAGGTCAATGCCATTGTCATGATTGCGCGCGCAATATTCAAGATCCCTCCCCTTTATTATGCCGGATAATTTAGGTTCTACTGTACAATGTAAACACTGTACTGTAAAGTATTGTAGCCTATGCTACTTTAATTGTGTTTTAATGACGTCTAATCCCGACCTATATTGACCGACGCTGGTTCTGAACCTCGACTTAGCGAAATTCCTTCAAACATAACCTCTATATAACGAACCTCGTTTTAACAAAACCCTTGATATAACGAATATTCAGTTCGGTCCCTTCAGATTCGTTATACTGAGGTTGGACTGTATAGATAAGCTAGGCCTATAAAATTAAAATTATTATACCTACACAGTGATTTTTTGTGTGTTAAATTGTTCCAGTTTTCAAATCCATGCATGCTAAGATTTAACAGCAAATACAATTTTTCAGGGTTTAATTTCATAAATAATAATTAGGGGTGTAATAATTCCACCCATTGGCTGTGTTAATAGAAAAACTGTTACAAGCTTTAATTTTTAACATAACCACATGAACGATCAAGACGTTATTTAAAGAATTAGCCTAACATTTTTTGTCGTAGCAATAAGTATAATGATACAAGATTTCAATCATTGAATCATTCACTATTCCATGCACACAGGTTCGTAAACTCTGTCAAGACTGGTTCCCTATAGACTACCCATACACTTGGTATGAGGACATCACCTCTAACCCTCGGTTCTACTCTCTCGCTGCAGTCTACGAGGGAATTATCATCGGTCTTATTGTTGCTGAGATCAAATCTTACTTCAAACTTAACAGTGAGGTTAGTAACTTATTGTTTTATATTTCTAACATTATATGTCAACTTTGTGGAAGTCACCCTGAGGACGGCACTTTACATCGAGGCAAAAACGATGGTGGAAAGAAGTGTCTCATTAATTAGGACACAGTTGTACGTTTTGTTGCTCTAAGATATTTTTAAAACCCCTTTTGTGGGTTTTAACTCCAATTTCCTACTCAATATCTTTGGCATTTTTTTTTCTACTAAGTTCGTTCTTAGCACAGATACTAAAGCCCCCTCCCCAATCCACTCCCAGCCAGATTCATTCATTTTGACAAGGTCTAATTACAGAGTGGTCACGAGGAAAAGAGTAAAACGACACATCAAGCAATAAATAGAATTTCACTAACATTCGATAATTGAGGATTAAGAAAGAAAACGATTATTTGTCTGATTGTCTGCAAAGAGCCTGGCAGGCTTACCATGACGAGAGATAATTACAACCCATTGATGCCACACGGTCCATTGATAATTAACTACCATGAGACTAGTTACCATTCTCATGCACTGTGAAGGCTGTACAGGAGTTTTGTATACTTAAACTTCTTAAATATCATGCAAAATTAATTTTCTGTGATCCCAGGGTCTTAATGAAAGTTTATCTAGATATTGATACTTGACAACCATCATACATTGTAAAATTCATAAAGTAGGCCTTCCTAACATTAAATAATGAAAGGAATTCTGGTAGATAGTGTTCTTGTTATAATCAATCATAAAGTGATAGAATAAACTCTGTGATTTCTCAGGACAAGGACATCCTCGCGTCATCGTTCGGCCGGTCGTGCTGTGTAGGCTACATCCTCAGTCTGGGAGTGAGTGAGAAGCATCGCAGGAATGGCATTGCGTCTCTACTGCTAGAGAACCTGGTGTCTCATCTCACGGCACCGGAGAACTGTGACTGTAAGGCCATATTCCTGCATGTGCTCACTGCCAACTCCACTGCTATACACTTCTACGAGCACAGACACTTCAGGTGTGTATTGTCTCAGTGGTATGTTTAAGTACTAAAAATAGGCAGAACCTCATGTAAAGGTATTTTAAAAAGTTTTAAATTAATGACAGTACCAAGTATATAGGCTACATCCACGAGGTACTTTGTCATGTCAGAAACAATTTAATGTGGTACTCCCAAGAAAAAACCAGTCACAGCTTTGACTGAAAATGTTGTAACGAGTTATTTTTCCTAGGGGGGTAAATATTTGCTATTTGGCCGTGCGATCGTTGAGGTAAGCAAGCGGATTTAACAGATTCAAGAAATACGGAGTTTCGATAGCCTACAGGACTCAGACCACCATGAGTAAAATAGTGCATCCAAAAATAGAAGATTGTAACAGATTCGACGCATCGGGCATCTATAAAATCAATTGTAACGATTGTGATAGCTTCTACATTTGACAGACTGTGAACTTTGTCAACCGCTCTGTAACAGATTCAAGAAATACGGAGTTTCAATAGCCTACAGGACTCAGAACACCATGAGTAAAATACTGCATCCAAAAATAGGAGATTGTATTGTAACAGATTCGACACATCGGGCATCTATAAAATCAATTGTAACGATTGTGATAGCTTCTACATTGGACAGACTGTGAACTTCGTCAACCGCTTCAAAAACCACATATCTGCATGGAGAAACAACAAACCGGAAAGATCAAATGTCGCACAACACCTGTTACAAAATGGACACTCCATAGAGAAAATAGAGGATAATCTATGTATTTTGAAGAATTGTAAGAAGGGATATGTGATGGATGCTTGGGAAGAATTGTATATTTATAAGGAAAAATGTAAAAATAGAAATAAGTTGATTAATGAACAAGTAAATTTTGATTCCAGTTGTACTTATAAAAATGTATTGGCCGGTGTTTCCGGTAGCCAATAGGGAATAAGTAGGGACACCATTCAAGATTCTTGTCATTCGCCTATTAGGTCTGTTGATGATTGGAGTGTCCAATCAAAATCGATCACCACTTACCATCTTTTGTATATTTACCGTCTTGTGAGTAACAGTATAAGCGTAAATATATGTTTTAAGTGTTATAAGACGTATCTTTATTTACTTTCCGTAAATTTAATAACACGTACAATGCTGATCAAGAAGTTATAAATTTTAACATATGGTCTTATGGGTTGCCATGATGGTTACAAAATAACAACGTAATTAAATGTAAACAAAACAAAGAATCATAACATAAGTTAAAATCAAGCAACAACCTAAACACAGTAGAAAGGGGAAAATGATTGATGACAACTGACTACTATGCCCAGCCCACATGTGTGTTTTGGACCACAGAGAAAGTCTTAGGTTTATATTTAAGTCCCAATTTGGTAATGACCACAGATTGAATACATCAAATAGGTACAGTCATAGATAAAACATACTTTCTTAGGTACAGTACCTATTTTACAGATTTAATTTACACAGCTAAATAAGGTTATAACAAATAACATTTTATCTTAAACAATTCGTCGGTGAATCACATTCATGGATCCATCTCATAAATAGGCCTAGTCATAAAAGTAGCATAGTAGTTTGGCTGCAGATTTGTTGGGACTTCATGATGATTGTGATAACGGACTGGAGAGATAAGTGTGGAGTGTTTGTGAATAAAAATGAAATATTAAGAGAGAAATAAAATAAGTCATGTTTTCAAGAAGAACAGAAATCAATCTTGTTTATTTGTACAGTAGGAGTCAATTTTTAAAACATCAGCTGTTCTAAGTAAAGGCTAAAGAAAATTATTAGATAAAAGAACTGAACATACTCCCGGCCTTGAAGTGTCCTCACTTCAACAGTTAGTTTAGAACAAAACACATTACCTAACACAAAAGTTTGTTGTAGGCCGGCTATAGCATCTTTTTGCATTTTTCTTCGTTTCTGGCTTCGTGTTGCACAACTGTTAATGTTTCTTCTTGTTCAACATGTTGATCAACGATGTTTCTTATTTCTTTGAGACGAGTTTTAATAAAAGATGTGAGTCGTGTATAATTTTCAATTTTAAAATCACTATTTGGAGATGCCATTGTACAAAGATGATGAGATAAATGTAAAAAATTCACAAAGTGTAAATGAGTGGGTTAAGAGTTCCAATGTGTAAATAAGAGTTCAGTTAGGTAAGAGTTCAAAGGCACAGAAAACAATGAGTAAAATGAGGAAATATTGATGTATGAAGAGTGCAGCTGAGTATGTCATCAGCTGTTCTAAGTAAAGGCTAAAGAAAATTATTAGATAAAAGAACTGAACAATAAGGAGGACACAAACACTCACTGATGGAAATGATAAGAGTTTGGACTTGATTTCCCTTTAGTTTAATGAGTTGCAGACAAGCCATGTCAGGCTTTTGCAGCATGGTGTATAATGATCTGTAAAAATGTGTGTTTAATTTGTTTCAAAATAAATAAATAAATGGCAAACTTTAACAGGTCCACAACATAGGAACTGGTGAAGAAAGTATTAAAGGCGAGAAGTTCTGAGTGTAGGAAACGTTAGTGGCGTGGCAGTTAGATAATTGTATTTTAAATACTAAAATTCTATGGGAAGGGGGGAAACAAGTCCACGACGTAGGAAGCTGTGAAGGAAGTAGTAAAGGCTGGCAATGCGGAATATGGGAACCTTTTGTGGCATTTACATTAATTTATCTGCAATACTAAAATGTTATGGGAAGGGAGGGAAACAGGTCCAAGACGTAGGAAGTGGTGAAGGAAGTAGTAAAGGCTAACAGTGCAGAGTGTGGGAATTGTTGTATTTTGTATTGCCGGTATTTCTGTAAAATTTTTTTACTTATTGCTTTATTAAAAACCATGAAACATGATTGCTCCGCTCAACTGGCTTTCATTGCTATAAAAGCAATCCTAGTTATATCATCCATAAATAAACATGTCTCATGATTGTAGCCGTAAATGTATTCTATGTCAAAAAGACTTGAGTCGTAGTAGATTATTATTTGATGTTAAAACCTACACTAAAACAAAACAACTAAATGATACCATTTTTTCAGGTTACATTCCTTTCTACCTTACTATTACTCCATAAAAGGTAAGAGCAAAGATGGATTCACATACGTCCTTTACATCAATGGAGGTCATCCACCTTGGGGCTTTTAATATCCTTTTATACTCGTTATAGCGTCTACTTTACTTGCATACTTGAATAGTATAATATAAAGTTATTTTGAAGTTTTACAGACAGTATGGTATTCTTTCTTACCACAACCTTATAAATAATGGTTTGTTTTGGACAGGAGTGAGCAGGCTTACCTGTGCAGTGGGATGAGTCTTCTAAAAATAAAACACATTTATGGGAAACATATGAGGAGACTCATCCTATGTACAGGTAAGCCTGCACTCCAATATAAAACAAAATCAAATATATCATGGCCTAGAGCCTTTTAATAGGGATACTGTACCTAGTTTTACTTCAGGTTATATCTTAAAGGAAAACATATTGGCTACCAAGGATTTGTCTTTAACTTTAAAGTTATGTTTTGTGTTCAGTTACTATGTATTTATTTTCCCCAGGACTATTAACCTAATTATTTTCAGTTAAGACTTATTATTTTAAGTTATTTTCTACACTACATTCCTTTTTGCAAAATAGAAAAAAATCTAGTTCAAAACAAAAATATCTTTATAAACACTTATCAGATGGCAAACTACTGCTCATATAAATATTGTCATATTATCAAGAGTCTGAATTTGAATTTACTGCATTGTTTTAGTATGTTTTAAGTGTTAAGTTTAAAAGTTTTTGCTTTTTTTGTGGGAGCTTCGCAATTGGTTGCCAACAAAAGTACTCCTGTACAAACACAATTCTATTTTATAATATGGATAGGAATGGAAATTTTTGAATTCCTAATTTTCATTTTAACCAACCATGTTTTAAAATTCACAATAAACCGACCAATATTTTTTCCCTAGTAGAAGCATTTACTGAGCGGTAAATAATCCAGCCTCAGTAAAAAAAGTGTCTATGTTAAGTTAAAGTCCAATCACTTCCCAAACTCCTAAACCCCCCCCCCCCCACGTAACACAGATAAGGTACCTTAACTTCTGTGTACTGACTACATCAAGTACGGCTGTAGCCTGGTATACCAGGTTGACGTTTGCGCCTGGGTACAGTCCCGTGTGCGCGCCGCCCTGGCGTGGTTGTGGCCCGGCGTCCGCCGCATTGTGGTAGAGAACACAACGGCACTGCTCTCCCATTGAATCAGCGTAGACATGTTCTCATCTTGTTTCTTATAAGTATTATTTTTTTATCTTATGTCTATTTTACATCGGTAAGGCTATGTTCGATTTTATTTATTTAACTAGTGTATGTCTTTGTGTTTTGCTCAACTGGATTTAAGTTACTGCATGAAAGTATAGTTTTGGTTAAGTATTCAGTTTTCACGGAATCGTGATTTTTGAAAAACTGATTTCAAAATTCTTCAAAACCAAGACTTACAAAACAAAGATTTGAGTAACTTTCTTATTAGTTGTGTTATTCATCTAATAGATTAATAGGTCTTTCACAGTCAAAACCTTGAAAAAAATATTTTATTTAAATAAACAAAAGTCAAGAATATTTGTAAATGTATGTATTTGTACCAAAGGTAATGTTTTTCACCCAAAGGATTATCTCTGATATTTACGGGACAGTTGTGCTTACATTTTCACAAATATCACATAATTATCAAGCTATTGATATTCACATTTTTTTCCAACCAAAGACATGACATAATATTTTTTACTAATTGAACCATTGTTGGCACAAAAGAGTGCTTTCTACATTTAAAAAATTAATTGTTAAATGAATGGTTAACAGGTTTTAGTTAAGTATTTAACTGTAAAATGTGTTTATAGAAGTTGTAAGGTATTGAACAAATTGTACTATTAAATTTAATATATTTATAGTATTATTAAGTTAAAGGTTTGTACATTAAGTATGCCCATAGGTACACGTTTGTGAATCCATCCAAAGTCTATGTTTAGGAAAAACCTGGGTGACGTTATGTTAAAAAAATTGCAGATTCTTACAGTTATATGGCCCAAGATACAGCACTTTTGTAATACAGTCTGATCTACCTTAGTTAGAGCCTAAAATGGATAGTTTTCTAGTGTCATTTTTACTTGGAAATCATTAACTTCCAAAACTAATTGATTGACTTTAACCCATTGACATATTTAAACTGCACTACCTGTTTACACACAGAAATTCCAATTTTCTTGGCTCTTTTAGTGACTTACAAAAATAACTACAACTTCATTTTTCATTATTTGTTTGTCTTAAATTACTATCTTCTTCCTCAGAAAGGTTGGAAGACAATTCACAATCATCTATACACCAATTTATTTTAATACTTCTTTGTAAATAAGACAGTCGTGACATTTGGACACAAAACAAACCCCAAAACACTCTTGATTACTAAAATTTTGAGTTTTTTCCAAAATAGGTTAGGCAACCAAAGAAACTAAAAATACAGACTCAAAAGTAACTTTGGAGCCTGATTAGAATCTACCTTGTCACTGGTTCAAAAAGTAAGTGTCAATCATACTTTTGTAATACAAACAAAATTTAGGGTAACCACTAACCAGTTCATCTTCAAGCTTCCCACTATTAGAGTACTGTACAAACAAGGTTGGCTGTTGTATTTGACATGCTTCTTTGATTATTGACGGAGACTGCAATATATTAATGTAATTCACAGTAAACATGTTAAGGTCTGTTCTAATTTCAAGATCAACGTCTCAACCAACAATTATTTAAACGGCCAGTTATTTACTGGATCACAACTGTGGGTACATTAACTAGTTTTGGATCAATTTTCTTGATGAATATTGAAGTCGATGTTTTCTGATAGATTAAGTACTGTTAGGAAACACAACATCATCAGAAACCATGTGGATACAATATAACCAGAATTTTACTGCTAGTTACAGTAATTAACCAGATGAAAAGTGGTCATTCACTAGAATCCATATTTAAACGATCCTGAAATGGTTATTTAAATTATTTACAGGGTGACCAGCTTCGTCACGAGAATATTGAATAGGTTATTAGGTAAAGAGGAGGGAGGTTAATAAAATTTAAATGTTAAATAATAATAATGTTGTCATTCACTCTTGCATTGATTTTTTTTGTGATAAATTGTACTTTTCAACACACTGTTTCAACATCAGTATTACCATTAGAAAGGAAGTACAGGGAGATAATTAAACTATTCTCCACACTTACACTTGAGTTAATAGCCTACTTTCCCATGTAGGATACAAGGAACAGCTCAAGCTTAAACTGTCATTCACTGGTGTGCACACCATACACTCATTATTTTGGAGTCCTAGGGTTTTTAAAGGTTTGCATGTTGGCAAATAAATCAAAGAAAATATTTCTGGTGTTCAAAAACAGTTGTTCATTGGGTTTCCGTTGATGATCAGGAGTGCACGCGCCGCTATGCACATCTGATATTGTTTTAGACATTTGACATTTTACTAGAACATTATTTTATTTTCAACTAATGTTTGAAAATGTTGTGTATGTATTAAGTTGATAACAAACTCTCAATGTTGCAACCTTTTTAATAAAGAGATAAGAAAATTTTTTTCTCTGTTCATAGTTTTTAATTTTAATAAAAAAAACGCTCCAAGTAGACCAAAGTCAACGACTTAAAATGTACAATATTATTAAGCTAATACTTAATAAGTTGACCAGTTAACATAGGTACTCAATAATCTAACAATATTAATATAATTTTGTTGTATAGGCTAGAAGTTACCAAATAATTTAATTTTAGTCAGTCTGTGAAGTTTTTTACTCTTATTGGAAACACTTTTTGATACATTATTACTATGTTTGATATGATATTGGGCTTTATCTTTCAAAAATATACTATGTTAAAAAATAGTTTGAATAATTGTAAATTATTAATAGAGTTTAATGTTTTCATTAAGTAATATTCCTCTTATCAAACGTAAAAAAATCAAACATCTCACTAACAACACTTTTTAGTCATGAGTAATCTATGAAGAAGTGAGTGATCTATGATAAATATTTTTTTGTAATTCTAGTGTTAACTTTTTTTATATTGTATACGAAGTAATCACACAAAAATTGTTTCCAGAATTTATTAATTGTTTGGTAAGATTCTAATTTAAATTATCTTTCTAAAAGGTATTTTATAAAGTATTTCTTGTTGCAGGGTTTTATTAGTTTTCATAGTAATATTTTATTAATCGAAGCTTTTACCTACAATATTCAGATAATGTCAACTAACACTAACTCCATCAAAAGTAATCTGAAAACTGGTAATAAACTTTAAATATTTATATTTACGATAAAAAGTTTCTTTTCACAAATACCCGGAACTTTATTTTGTTATATAACTGTATGGATGTTTACACATTTCTATGTATACCCTATAACCTAAATAAAATAAAGTTACTTTAAGGTTGTAAATTGAAACCAACTTTGCACCCTGAATTTAATATTTTTAATATATGTATTTTTGTATTATTAATTTCAGGGTGCACAGTTGTTTTTAATTTACAACCTTAATATAAAAGCAGCTCTATTTGGTGAAAATGAAAATATAAAGTAACATATATTGCACACATGACGTTTTCCAATTGCTAAAAATTAGATTAAAAGGGAACTATTGCCCTCTTTAAGTTTTTCAATTTACCAAAATCCTTTTGGTATGTTTCAATTTGTAATTCCTATACAGTACTTTAATGCCTATGTTCATTAACTTTTTAAATAACATGTTTGTTAATATTCAGCGAATTTCCTAAACATTTTTTAGTTCTGAGCTTGGGCGAGTTTTATGTCAAGTTAAATTCAGAGATGGTTTTCGTGTTAGTAAGATATCTAAACGAACAACACCTTTGCCATGATAATACCAATTGTATCAAATTATTTATTACCTACTTTTAGTTATTAAATGCAACTTTTGTACAAATCGAAACCATTATGACAAATAGGTTATTTTGTTTTGTTTTATTTTTAGTTATACGCTATTAAGTTACATTGAGGTCTTGATTCTTTAACATTTAATTTGCAATAAGACAATATAGAGAGATATTGAAACATAACAGCAAGGGTTTTTTAATAATTATGTTTATTAAGTTATGGTAGCCTACTAATTAATAAGAGTGGATTGCTGGTGAAAAAGTGAAAATTGTTTGTACTGTGGACTTTAGCTTATTCGGGCTAATCAAGTGGGCGATCTGCATCGTTGAAATTCTACTGTTTTTTTTTAATTTACAATATTTAAACATAATTATTTTGAGGTAACTCTGCATTTTTTTCATGTAGAATTTACAAGTTCTTCATCAGAACTCGGGACTCAATGTTGGGATATGTTACAAAAAACAACTGTAACCAAACAAAAATCAAATAAATACACCAAAACTAACGAAATCACAAAATGTGTTCTTTGAATCATCAAATGTCCATAAGTAACATACACTAACTGTATGTTTATGTAGTTATCTTCAGTTCACATTCTATCATAGATAAAACATACTCCCAAGTAGATTTCTCATCCCTATGGAACAGATGAAGCCAATACAGTATTATTGTTAGTTCTGTCCATTCCACTGTAGAGGTAGTGTTTTGTTTACAATTCGTTTCTTGTTTTTTCAGTAATTGAAAACCTCGTTTAACCAAATATAACGGTGTAATCATAAACAATAATAACTTGTCCCCAAGTTAGTTACCAAACAGTAAAGCACAAATCATGGAATTAATCGTAAACAATAGAAAAGAAATTCCCACTACACTAGTGACCAGTGTCACTGTACATGAACTAGACATGAAAAACGAGCTTCAAAATTTACAATGGGATGAGAAGTCTACTTGTGTTGTTTAGTCTATGATTCTATTCAATTAATATTGTGATTTTTCTTAAGGACTGAGGTTAAAGTTTTTATTCAATGATATGTTAACTAGTCTATGTTTGTTATACGACTGTATTTTTATATTAAATATTTATACGTAATATGTTATCTCAGTAAAATATGTACTTAACAGCAGCCTATACATCTTATGATACTCACCTAATTGTGGTTCTATGTTTCCTTGGGCACAGCATTTATGTCAAACATTTTTTAAATAATTTAATTGGTTTGTACCTTACTCAATTATGAAAAAAATTGACCAATTGAGTTAAAATTTTGAAGAGTTTTCCAGGCTTGTCTCTTTAATACAATGTTATTTTCGTCAAGGAATTTAATGGGCCAGTATTGTTTGAGTTTTTAATTTAACAGATTTTATAAGATTTATCATTCTTTTAGTGAGCTGAAAGCAATTTTATTGTTAGTTCCGTCCGAAGCCGCTATGATTTTGTTTTTGTTTACAATTCGTTTCTTGTTATTTCAGTTACTTAAAATCTAATTTAACCAAATAAAACGATTTAATCATAAACAATAACTCGTCCCTTAGTTCTATAAAATAAAATAAATCCTAAAATAATTTTTAAAAAATGTCATCGACATTAGTGTCTAGGGTCACCAAGATGAACTAGACTTGAAAAACAAGCTTAAAATTTTATAATTGGGTTAAAAGTCTATCTACTGCCAAGATGAAAAACATTGATTCCAAATTTTAACATAAGATGAGAGGTTTCTACTTGCATTGTTCAATGTTTTCCACCATGTCTGCTGTGCCCTCCAATACCACTCACTTTACCTACCCAATGTTTGTTAGTTCTGTGTTAAGTATGCCACATGGTAATATGTACAACAGCCAATTAGTTTTGTCAAGCTTTTGTACCTGTTCCTCGTAATGTATATTTTTTTTGTAAATAATGTATAAATAGTAGAGTTCTTTACACATGTTATTACAAGAAATAAATGCTATATTATTATAAGTAGTCTTATTGAGTTCCCATTCTCTTACGGCCAATTTAAAAATATGTATTGGACAAAACACTAAAGGATCAGAGATCAGTAAGTTAAAAATAAAATAATGAAAGATGTATAAAGGTAAAATTAACTCTTAAAGGGTTTTGCTTGACATTTTGTTAGAGAGATAATATTGAACTCTTGAAGGAAAAAGAGTCTAAATTTATCAAATATATTTTCCGCCTCAAGGTTATTTTTGGCTAATCGTAGTATTAAAAATATTTTATTGATTTTAAAGACGAATGTTACTGCTTATAAATGGTATAGTTAAGAAGAGATGACTCAATGATTAAATACTTTAGCGTATAACTGGGAAAAAACAGTAATATGCCGTTAGAATATTATTGACTGTAAGGTATATAACACAAGATATGTAACAAAAAATATTTTACTAACAAAAGATCAACCATCAAAAAGCAGCAACTGTGTTATAAATCCTTCATTAGGTTTGATGCAAGGACGAATCATTTTCAAACGCTCGTAAGCTGTCAGATAATGAATTCTCTCTGTTTTCATCAAATAAGCAATGATAACGGATGCTGAGCGGGAAACCCCAGCATTGCAGTGTACGTATATTACTCCTTTTGATTTTATTTCATCATTAATAATCCGAGTGCACTCGTCAAAAACTATATTCATGTCAAACTCTGGTAGATCCAGTGCTTCTATGTAGGTGTGTCGAACACCAGGAATGTCCTTGACTGTAACTCCTACGCTGAGGATATGAGTGATGCCGTGATACTTGACCAGTTCTTCGTCTTGCGCCACATCCTGTGACCCCATGAGCAATCCCGGTAGAACTTCCGCCACCTGCAAATCTGGCTTCATATCAACAACATAACCGGGTCCTCTATCAACTTTTTCCAAGACAGAATCCCCCTTTTTGTTCTTTTTCTCCAAGTAGACGTCCCCGGCTGAAGTCCTAACAGTTGTCTCGGTAGATCTCAATGTGTCTTTCTTTTTTTGTAAGGATTCAAGAAAACTCATTGTGACACTTCACTTATTTGCTAAACAATTGTTTTTCTAATTTAGGCTATAAAAACATTTCCCTGAGTTGGATCTTCTATAAAACAGTAGTGAAATAATGAGTTTCTCGATAATCTGATGGTTTTTTAAGTTGATGTAGCAGCACCTCCTGGTGCTGTATCTTCTCAAAGAACACCAAGTGTTCGGCCTTGAAGAACACTAACCTTAAAATCTCATTTCTGACTAAGATAGTTTACTAACTAAAAAATAGTCTTTTTAATTTCTAAAAGCCTTTCCCTGAGTTTGATTTTCTCTAAAATAGTTGTATCAGGAAGCTTGAGTTTCTCAAGAATCTGATGGGTTTCCTCTTGTAGTTGATGTAGCAGTGCTTCCTGACGATGTGTCTGCTCGGAGAAGGCTAAGTCCTCAGCTTTGTACCAGATTTCGGTCAGGAAGAGACCCTCTGAAGACACCAGTGCTCCAGTTACACTCCAGCTCTCTTCACTAGGCTCATCAAACATCCGCTGCAGGTCTGCTATCTTTATTCGACCCTGGCCATACGCCAAGAGGGAGGACACCATCCGTCGGACCTAACAGTTATCTGATATTACGATAAAGATCCACTGACATATTATTATTAATAAAGAGTTAGTGTTGGAGAAGTGGGAGCCAGGTACTGAATCTAAAATTGTATGGATAATACCTGCATCCCTAACATATGCCCTGGCTCCTTCAGTGACTAACCAAAAACAAACACTTTGGCAGTTGAGCTGAATCTTACCAGGAACTCAAAATAAAAATATATGGAAAATACATGTATCTCTAACATTAACCACCTTGGGTCCTCCAGGGATTAAAAAAAAATGCATTGGCAGTTGAGCTAAATTTTGTGTGACAATCACATACATAAAAAATCGGGCAAACCCTGTTTAGAGCAAAGATGACATCGATGAAGAATTATTTTCAGTCATGAGCTATAAACTATAATATCAAATGCAAGTAGATAGTCAATATATCTATACCTGATGATAAAGAAATGATCTTGAACTACAAGTGATGTCCCAAAAGTCGTATTGCTCAGTGAGACTGTCCTGATGCACCATGGGCCGTCCCGGTGTCAACTCCAGAGTGTCCAGCGAACGAATCGTGTTGATCTCACGATCATCTCTGCTTTTTGAGGAAAATGATCTGAAGTCCTTCTCACCAAGGAAAAGACCACAGGCTGACTTTACTGCTTCTACATTAAATGTGTCCTCTCTAAACAAAACACTCATTGTGAACTATAACTTTCAATTCAACAATGGATTGCTCCTTTTTCAACGGTTATTTTGTTAATTTTGGCAAAACAAAAATTTGATCTGTGAGTAAATTTTGATGTGAGTTTGATTAGTTCCAAGGAACTAATCATATCAGTCTTTCACTACTACACATTCTTTTTGTATTTAAATACGATTCAAATGTTTACTACATCAATATTTGTTACAATAAAAAGCTTTAACCTTCATTATAGCCAGGATTTCGTTTTGGGGGGGCCAAAACCGGGAGGATATGATATACCACCCATGATAGGGGGCGTTCAGAGCCCCCTGAAAATTTTTGTATTTTTAGGTGCTATAATGCATAATTTATAACACCTCTGAAGGCTCTAAATTAGAGAATAGTTTCCGTGTAATGCCATTTGGAGATACGTTTAACTGTCCAGAAATGTTTATGAACAAGTTACCAAAATATTATTACTAAAACTGATTAATAAATTTTGTTTTAATGCAAATATACATTTAGGTACTAATTTTATCTGCATTCCTAAAGTAGGTCAAGTAAAAAAGTTATATATTAGCATCGACTATTATATTAGGCTATATAAATATAACCGAAACCGTTATACTGTTTCTTAATAATTTTACCACATTTTTTAATGGATTGGTTATACTACACCAACCCCTGTCTTTAGGTCCTTCCATTAAGTATTTTTGAGGGAATGGATTGTTTTTCAAGTAAAGAAAATATAATAGGTACAACAATTACAAATTCTAATTAGCCAATTTAGGTGTATTTCCTTCCAAACACTTAAAATAACTAACATATCAAAAGCAAATAAAGATATAACAAAAAAAATCAAAAAGAAAATAGTATTAAAATTAGAGGTATGCCATTCTGAGATTTTCGATCAAGCCAAACTCAAAAACACCATCATCGTCTCCCGCGGTCACAAAAACCCTATCGTCTCTCACAATCGCAGTAAAACTATGAACATCTCTGGTCTCCCACGGTCATGTGGAAATTATAGTAGTCTTCTGCGATTGTGGCAAAAATCTTATCATCTCCCACGGTCCTGTCGACATAACGCGGTCTTGTAGACATAATAATCGTCTCCGTGATCGGGGGAACATTTTTACAATTTCTCTTGCCCAAGAAGACATTGTCTTTGTTTCCTGCGGTAATGCCAAAATCCTGAATATTCCCCACGGTAACGGGAACATCATCATAGTCTTCCACGATCACGTCAAAATCATGAACCCCTCCCACGGTGGTGAAGACATTATTGTCGTTATTCGCAATCGCGGCAAAATTCTGATCATCTCCCGTGGCTGTGTTGACATCATCATCATCTCCTGCGCCCATTGAAACATCATTGTCGGCTTGCGTGATCGCGGCAAAAGCGGTAATTTTCGGATCACGCATCTTTGCAAAAGTTTCTGATATCGGTATTAGAATCTACTTTTGACGACCGATTCTCGATACCGATACCAATGTCTAAGTACTATATTGAGACTTGATATCTTGAATCAATACATCCATAAATATAAATATAGGGCCCTCTCCCTGGCTGCACCACTGATACGAAAGGTTGGTTCAGTTTAAAGCGTGGTTGATTCTGGCCCTAGATGGCATTTATTATCGTTGAGCTATCACAATTAGTTGTTTTTTTTTTTTCACAAAAAGATCAAATGAAATCAAATACAGTAGAGTCCCGCAAACTCGGCACTCGATAACCCGGCAGTCTGGATAACTCGGCCATCACCTGGCTCAGAAAATTTGTGATTTTTTGAGTCCGAGTTAAACATGGGCTCAAGTCAAAGCATTTGCAACTCGTACCAAGGATTTGTTGTACTATATCTGATGACTTAATACCTACTTGTAAAATAAATGTAAATAAATAAGGCAGCGAAAAGGAATAAAAATTGTATTGTTCTTATTTTTAACCCTAGTTCCCAATAACCCGGCATTTCACAAACTCGGCACCCTTCCAGTCCACATTACGCCGAGTTTGCGGGACTCTACTGTACTTTATTGCCGTAAAAACAAACTGACATTTTATGATTGTCTAAATAAAAATAACAAGATGCCTTACTTTTACAATTAAATTCAAACTAAATTTTATACTTTACGAACAGGCCTGGGTTTAATGGTTTCAAGATATCTAAATTTAACAACTAACAGACTTTTTGATGCCGACAGGCAAGAAATGGAAAATGTTCACCCTTTGGTACTCAATGCTGTTTTGAATGGCAGTAGGTATATATAATATATATATTTCTTACAGTGTTTGGATAATATCTTTAAATCTTATACAGTTGTGGACATCAGATGTATATTTTTCTTGATGTTAGCCATACATTTTTCTCTGTTAGTTTGTAATAGAAACAGACTTAGCAATACTTACTGTAAAAACAGACAACGCTTGAACTCTGAGACGGGGTAAGGTATGACAGTTTTCTCATAGAAGGGAGCCCCAGGTTTCGGAAATGCTAAACGATAAAGATATTTTCTACCACAAGCTTTGTGGCGACAATGAAAATCATCTGCTACTTGTTGAACTTTCAATATCCTGGAAATCATAGGACCCATTGTTAACTGATGAGCACATTCTATGGATTAATTTGTGGTGTACAAGCAAATAATTGTGTAAAAATCCATTCAATTACAGACCAGTACAAGCAAGACTTCAAACCAGATTTTCCAATAAATAAAACTAAAATCTTATGGTTATAATCTTGGTTTCAAGCTAGTGTGTAGTTATTGAATCAATCTTTAGGTACATATTGTATTACAAACACTATGGTTTTGGTTTAGAGTTGGCTTTTTATAACTTTTCTTTAGAACTTTGTAAGTTATAAGATAAAAAGAAAATATAATAATATTGGCCTAAGTAAGGAAAAAATTATAATAGCATATATAAATTACTCCTAGAAATGAAATCAAACTACAGTATTTGAGTTGCATTCAATAAAAACTCAAAGCACTCATTTCGAGAGGTTAAATTTTAACATTCTTTTTGAAAATCTTATCATGTTTTACCACATTAAAACGATTATTAAGTAATTTAGATTTATTTTTACAAATGAGTTTGATCAGAAAATTTAATGTTTTTACTTAATGCCACCTTATTCCTAAAAATCTACCTTATATCATGGTCGTTGTATGCAAAAAATACATTTGCTGTTTTAGCAATTGAAAATGAATTTATATTTTTGAAGTCTCCTTCCAAATCCACATGTACTGTGTTACATAGAGCGTGAACGCCTTTGTCTGTCCTGAAATCATTGGTTATTATTTTAAAATTATAGTTAAATATTGTCTAAGTTAACCATACAGCAGCCAATATGAATAACCTGTGAATAACATTTAAAAATAATTTATAAATAAAAATACTTTTTAAAAATGCCACGTTTTTAAACGCACTAAAAAGTATAAAATAATTTATAAAATGTTGAGAGAATAAATACTTGTAAGATTTAAAACGAAAAACGTGGGGCGCATGCTGATTTACAATTAACTTCACCTATTGAACTACTGTATTATGATCTATTGCATGTGCCCCACGTTTTTCGTTTTAAATCTTACAAGTATTTATTTTCTCAACATTTTATAAATTATTTTATACTTTTTAGTGCGTTTAAAAACGTGGCATTTTTAAAAAGTATTTTTATTTATAAATTATTTTCTAGTTTTTAGTCTTTAATGTGTAAATATGTTAAATCTATTTTATATAGCCTCTTAATACACAACCTAAATCCAAAACCTTATTATCTGTAATCAGATGTTTTATCTTTACTTTGAAATGATTGTTTTATATTTTTACAATATCTTGGGAGCGGTGGGACACACGGGAGGGACTTAGGCTAACATATCTTGTAGTGTCAGCATTCGCCGCTAGAACCGCTAAGTTGAAAAAATTTAATTTTTTATTTTATTTTTACTTATAAAATTAACTTTTTAATTATAAAATAAATTTTTATATTTTAAAATTAAACTTTCATAACATAAACCTAACCAACCAGACTTGCTGATAATATAAAAACTGTATAACATAAAAATCTAATTAATGATTACTTATAATTTTTAATTAATTATAAAATTAATTTTAAAATTTATTATTATAAAATTAAACTGTCATAACCTAACCTAACCAACCAAACTTGCTGATATGAAAAATTGTTGACAAAAAGTTAGTGCAGCCAGCAGGATTCGAACCCGGGACCTCCTGAACTTCAATCCGAAACGCTACCTTCTATGCCACGAACGCCGCTGAAATCACTTCGTTTCGTTATGGTAATCGTGTTGCCTCAAGAGTAGACATTAGCCACTAGAGATATGACGTCACTACACCTTTAGCCTTAGTCCCTCCCATGTGCCCATTCCATCTTGGGAGCATAACCTGTACCTCTTAACCTCTGCTCTTCTAACTTTCAAATTTAAGTATTTACAGCTGACTTAAATTAATTAATATGTTTACATTCTTTTAAAATGTAAACATGGAAAATTTGGAAGCGAAAGGGGTGTAGCCCAAGGGAAATATGAAAATTAAATGATATAATATTGCATTGTCATCCATTTGTGAGCCCTGTTTCAAGTTTCAAGTCTCTAGCTCATCGGGAACTTTGTTTAAAACTGATATCAAAATTTGTAGGAAAGCGAGCTAATAAAAACAAGCCCATGGGGCGTAGTCCAAGGGAAATATGAAAATTAAAAGATATAATATTGCATTGTCATCCATTTATGAGCTATGTTTCAAGTTTCAAGTCTCTAGCTCGTCGGGAAGTTAGTATAAAATTGATTTCAAAATTTTTCCGGACAAGAAAGCGAGCTAATAAAAACGTTTTAAAAAACTAGTTAAAATAATACTAGAGGATCCATGCTGCTCCGCAGTGTTAAAATAAATATAATATCCGAGAAATAATCAAGTTTATGATTTTTTATTGAGTAATAATCTTGAGTTTAACTGATTCAAACAATCAATACAGCTCAAATTAGAGCCTATAACTTACTGATTATTTTGAGTATAAAACATATAAAAAACTTCAACAATACTTGGAGCTATTGATTTTATTCATAGAAAAATCTTATGAAAAATTTTTTTTGTTGATTGCTCACCTTGGGTTTGCTTGAAACTCGTCCGATTTGAATAACTAATAGCTTAAATGAAAGCCGGTATTTTACTGAAGGTTCTTAGACCAAAAATATAGGAATATATTAGAGGAATATATAACTGGTGAAATTCATCTTAAATTAAAGTAAGAATTTGAAAATGAATCAAATTATGTTTTTTGGTCGAGTAATACAGTAGGTAAATAAATATATTTCGATGCTTGCGGTAAAATCTGTGTGTGCATACCTTCAATTTGAGACCTCAATCATGAAAATCGGATGGATAGAAGAGCCAAACGAACTCGGAAAAAAAACCAAATTTAACTCCCATAAGAAATACATGGGGAGCAAAATTTGTTTACGTATAAGCCGAGTGGTATTATATTTGAGACCTCAATCATGAAAATCGGTCAGGTAGAAGAGCCAAACAAACAAGAAAAGAGAAACCAAATTTAACTCCCAGGATAAGAAATACATGGAAAGCAAATTTTGTTTACGTATAAGCCGAGTGGGATTATAGATAAATATATGCTGACGCTTCATGGCAAGTCTATGCATGCACACCTTCAGTTTGAGACTTCAATCATGAAAATCGGTCAGGTAGAAGATCCAAACGAACTCAGAAAAGAAAAACCAAATTTTTTTTATATATAAGTTTTTTTTTCAAGTTTACTAGTTAAAGCTAGAGAAATTTGAGGAATATGGGAAATGTAGGAGAATAAAGTGAACTACGATCTAACTAGTTGTAAAATGTAAAAGTCTAACGATTGTTTTTAATTTAAAATAACTTGCTTGTAGCCACAACATTACACAATTTGAATACAGATTTTTCTTCTTTAATTTAAAGGTCCCATTAAATATACCAACAAGGACTATATATTTTATCCGCCTGTTATTTTTATACTTGTCATAAAATTTGATGAAAACTGTGTAGTTTTGTTCCAAACTTCATCATAAACAATAAAAATAAACACTTAATAAGACATGTCAGTACTGCACTTCACACTAAATAAACTTTTTAGTGGATTAAAGGCATACAGGTGCCGAGCCAATACATTAACAAGGCAGAAATAACATCCCTCATTGTCGTGTCAATCATTCACAAATGTTAACTAAATATTTCTACTTGATCTGCTAAATATGTGAACCCCATTAATTTCCCTTACTTTGAGGCAATCAAGTTATTCTGTGTAGTTGGAATTGGAAGAGGGAGAGGGCAAGTTTTAAGTCGTAAAATGAAGTGCAGAATTAGTAAAACTGCCATAATTGGACTCCCTTATTATTTTGCTTATCTGGTTTTACTTATGCCTTACACATTCCACAAGGTTAACACAGGTACTTACTTATTCACCAGAATTTACAAACCAATGATTAGTTACTTACATTTTTGTCATACACCCTTTGCATCAAACTATCAATAAAATTACCTTCAATGCACTTGAGTTATTTTTCCAAAAAAATCTGAGGAAGCGGATTTTTACTTCACAAAATATAAATCCACAACACTAAAATATTAATCTCAATTTCACAAATACAGTACAATGAAGATTGGACAATCCCTGGTAAGAGGCATCCATCAAAGAGCAAAGGCTACTACTAAATAGTGTTTTGATGGTACATGTTGGTTAGTATGTTCCCTTTTTGTTTCTATAGTGAGTATTTTAATTATGTGTTAACAAAATAGCAAACTTAGAGAACTTTTCTTTTGTAACAAAACATGAAAGCTAGTGGTACTGAATGAAAATAATCGTGGCCTATTTCATAGAGGTAAAAAGACCTCTGTGCCTTTAAAAGTTTGCGTCTCTTTACAAAATTGATTAATTATATATTTTTCAGGTCCTCCCTTTCAGCTGTCCCAAGTGCGAGTGGTATTGGCAACCGTAGTTTTCACAGTAACTATCTTCTTCTTTCTAATCAAAGGCCACTATTTGGTCACCCTGTGGAATATCACCTGGGTATATTTCATCGCCGTGTTGTACTCGAGGAACAAAATAATGAACTGCCTAAACTCCATGTACGCACTTTTAAAAATCACAAAATATCAACAAAGCATAGTTATTCCTCTATCGCTAGTATTTTCTTCTTTTCTCGTTTACCTACTAAGTACCCCTTTGGTTTTCACAGTACATGAACTGAACATCCCTAATTTGTCCATCCAAGTAATGTACATTCTCAACTTCAGTTTAGAGATCACCTTCAATGCGTTGTGCTTTTCCACCGCAATGGTTTTCAGAGACATAAGGCTTCAGATGAAAGATAAAGCTGTAGGTGATGTGACTAAGGAAGGTATTTTACGTTTGGTACACACCCAATGGATGGCCTACCAACAAGTAGATCTCGTTACACAGGCTTTCAGTCCTCATTTGTTCAACTACATCACAGTCGGCATGTCAGTCATCATGTATGTCAATATCTACTTTAGGAAGATGATTAAGCACGTGTCACTCTACATGCCCCTCTTACTTGGAACATGGTCCATGTCTCTCATGTGTTACTGCAGTCATCTTATAGACACTGAGGTAAGTCTCAGGCAGTTTTTTATATACGACACATGTAAAACTACCCAAAATAAATGTAAAACTACCCAAAATATAATTCTAAGGTACAAAATGTGTCAAAAGAATTGTCCAATGTAGGAGACTATAAATTGGGAGATACAGTAGAGACTCGATCTGGCCGAAAATTACAATAACCGAAAACATGGTTACATTATCAAAAGTCTATAAATTTAAAGTTTCTTTATAATCAAACCTATTCAAGGCTTTAAGTTTGTATTCCATTAAAAACATTGACTTTTTTGTTTAGAAGCCATTATTACATAAATATCCAACAAAGCAGAAAAACCACTACTGCAACTGTAAAATATATTTTTGATAAAGCGATATTCAAAAACTCACTCAAATACCAATCTCCGTTTACACCCTGACGAATGTAAGTAGTAGCAAAAGGGTATGCAGGCATTAGGGTAGGTGCAGGGTTAGAGGGTTACAGAAGAGTGCAGGGTTATGAGGGCTCTATGTATTAGCAGTGTGCTGAGAAAGCAGTAGAGTGCAGACTGCAGGTGCCTAAAGTCTGGCACATATTTTCCAAGAAAAAACAGGCGACAAATTTGTCCATCACAAAAAAAAACTAACAATTTATGAAATTAGGAGGACTTCACCCCATTTACTCTGAGGGGAAGATTTCTGAAACGACTGAAGCATAGTAAGAATTATTGTAGTGGACACGTTCAAATAAAAACCAAACTGCTATGAAAAAGCAGAAAAGATTATGTTTCAAAAAACACAGTCAACTAAACATTCAAAATATAATAAATAACTTTTTTTCAATTTCAGGCAGATAAATTACTATTGGAAATCCAAGGACTCATTTATAAGAATACATCACCTAAAGTTCATCAACTGGTAATGTAAAATTAGTGTGTTTATTATATAGTGGTCCGCAATTGTTTTTCAAAGAATTAAAAAAAGAAGATTACTCCACTACTGAATTCGAATGAGTTCTTTAGTATCGTCAAGTTGTACAACCTATTTGATCTTAACATGTCACAGTCAACGCCACAGTTTAAATTAACAAATTTAAATGTTGCACGGGGCCAAAGGCCACGAAGGCCAAGGCACGGTGTTGTTGTGGGATAAAGATTATGGTTATGGAATTGAACTCAAACTGACACATTTACAACAAATAAAACAATTTCAAGTTTCTGTTTTTAAGTTTCCTGTTGCTGTGTCTCATTTTCTTATCATTTAATCGTTTTCACTCAATAAATACTTAAACTAGAGTTTTTATTCTCAAAAGGCATCCAAAGTCAGTTTTGCATTGAGATTTGTGAGCATTGAATCAGTAAATCAAGAGCAGATTTCTTACACAAACATGGGCTGTTTTACAAATCAGTCTCTCAAAGGATCTTTCCTTAGAGGGAGAATACACAATGTACCCTATGTACCTTACTTCTCTGTGATTAGCCTATGTCAACAGCTGGTCGTGATGATGGAGCAAGTGAGAATACGAAAGCTACACGTCTCAGTACAAGACTGCTTCAAGCTACACCTGCCACTACTGCTCTCTGTGAGTTAATTGGAAACCATTCTTAAATACACATGAACACTGGGTGCAGCACTTAATGGAAGATTTTACATTGGGTGCCTAATTGAGATCAATTTTAGATTTAGATATAGATTTTCCAATAACGAAACGTCTCATAATGTGCAATATTGAGACAAAAACAATAAACTTTACTGGTAAAACCAAAATTTGTGCAGTAAGCCTGATATGAATTTTTCCAAGTTAGGTCAACGGTTTTAACAAACTGACAAAGAGTTGGCCCCTTTCAATTGAATTGTGTAACGTGTGTAAGTTAAAATCAAATTAATTTCAATGTAGTAAATATTATGAAATCATGTATATCTGTCAAAGTTCATTTTACAAAACACTGAGTAGAAAACAAAAAGTAAATAGTGGGACCTCAATAATTCGAAATCCTTGATAAATCGAATTTTGTTCATTCCTCTTGAACTTTCCTATCAAAGTGAAATTCAAAGTAATCTTTATTGTAACATACGGTAACGGTTTTTACAATGCTCTGGCACAGCCAGACAAACCAGGTGACATTGTCATACTATAGACAGACAATAGACAATAGACAAAGCTTTATTGTACATGACGCCTGATACAATAATTACAAAAGTAATTCCCAAGCTGGTACATGGACAATTTATACCTAATTTATGTCTATTGTCGGGACCATGTAAGTTTGCAGTTGGTGGCAGCCAATCACAAGACGAGGCTAGTGCGACGTTGCCACATCGCCCAATGACAACACTAATCAATATATACAAAGCAATATTTTCAAATCAGCTGGTATTTGGCAACATATATATAAGATTTGGCAACACCGCTCCGTCCTCATTGGTTCATTCAAAACCATATGGTAAATAGGCTCCTCCCTCAACTGCAAACTTATGTGGTCCCGACTCTAGGTTCCTTAATCTAATAATACTCTAACAAGAGTAAAAACTATTAAAATTTATCTTTAAAAAACGTCTGAATTTTGTAATACGCTTTCTGGCTCAAAGTCTCCTGCTTATAAGTAAAATTTGATTTTGATTAAGTTCTGTATGAATTAGGTAAATGATTGTAGATTTGTAATCCCATGTAAAGAGGCCCAGTTTCAAATTTTGTGTGCGAATGTTTGGGATATTAAAAAGTTTTGTTATTATTTCTCGTTTGATAGTTATGACTTATTTTATATTTTTCATAAAAGAAAGGATTTGCATGAACATACTTTGCTATTTCAAATATATAAAGAGATGGTAATGTTAAAATGGAATGCTTTTTGAAAAAAGGTTTACAGCTTTTTTTAGACTTCTGGTGAAAAATAGTTCTGAGAATGGACTTTAGGCAAGTGAACACTTTCTTGGCCTCTGCAGAGTTACCCCACAGAGTGACGCCATAAGCCAACAAAGAATGAACATATGCATGATATACTGTCAAGCAGACTTCTAGAGGCGTGACCTTGGATAGAACACTCAGTGAATACCTTGTTGGCCTTAATTTTTTATTTAGATGATGAATGTGGTCGGACCAACTTAATTTTGAGTCTAAATTTAGACCTAAAAACTTAACAATTTTTGTATTACTGATTGTGGTGTCTGCAACTCTGTTTCTGAGTTTAAATTGAAGAACATTGGTTTTACAATTCATTTAATTTCAGACCATGGCTCTCAAACCACTCATTGATTTTTTTAATTGTGCTGTCAAAAGTTAATTTAAGTTCACTTAGTGTTTTTCTTTTTAAAAGAGCAGTTGTGTCATCGGCATACAAAGTGAAAGCACAGGAATTTGTGGAAAGGCAATTAGGCAAGTCATTAATAAATACAGGGTGAATAAAAAGTCAAGACCCCCCCCCCCATCTAATATTTTTCCAAGTAAATACACAGAGATATCCTTTTGGGGGTCGTGCAATCTTAGCAGGAAGTTTCATTTTATGATTTTGAAATTTTTGAGTGTCCCCCAAAAAGGGGGGATTTAGGGGGTAACTCAAATATTTTAAATGTAAACCCCCTTCATGACACCTCATTTTAAAGTGTTTACAACAACTTAAAGAATTATGAAAACTAGAGGTCGCTATCTCTTCTCTATCCAAAATGGTAGCCCGTCAAATGTTGTCGAAAATCAATGGTTAATATTGGTTCGTAATGGTAATATTGGCTACCATTTTGGATAGAGATGAGATAGCGAACTCTGGGTTTCACCATTCTTTAAGTTTTTGTTAACACTTCAAAATGAGGTGTCACTTGATGGGGGGTTTACATTGAACAGTTTTTATTTGTCCCCCCCCCATTCCCCCTTTTTGGGGGGACACTCAAAAATTTTAAATGTAAACCCCCATTTAGTGGCACTTTGTTTTGAAGTGTTTACAAAAACTTAAAGAATGGTGAAAACCAGAGTTCGCTATCTCTTCTCTATCCAAAATGGTAGGCAATATTACTATTACGAACCAATTTTACCATTGATTTTCCACAACATTTGACGGGCTACCATTTTGGATAGAAAAGAGATGGCGACCTCTAGTTTTCACCATTCTTTAAGTTTTTGTTAAACACTTTAAAATGAGGTGTCACTTGAAGGGGGTTTACATTTAAAATATACGAGTTACCCCCCAAATCCCCCCTTTTGGGGGGACACTCAAAAATTTCAAAATCATAAAATGAAACTTCCTGCTAAGATTGCACGACCCCCAAAAGGGGGGTCTTTATTAGATGGGGGGGTCTTGACTTTTTATTCACCCTGTATAATAAATAATAAAGGCCCAAGTATGGAACCTTGCGGACACCATATGTAACGCTGGCCCAGTTAGAATAATATTTTATTGATTTTTTTATTACTATTGTGCGCTGCTTTCGATTGAGTATGTATGATCGTAATAATTCTTGTTTTTATTGTTTCAGTTGGCAAACATATTTGTTACCTTCATGGTCGTACTTCTCGGATTTACGTGAATGACAACAGTCACACTCCAGTAGAATATGACTTCAGAATTGCTGAAATAGCTAGATGTGAAATATGTTATCTATAAAAAGTACTAAAGACTAAATAAAAATTCAAAATTAATGCAAAACCGTTTTTTGTTTTTTTTTATGGCATAAACCAGTTGACAATGATAATTTAATTTAGTTCAAGCATTTTTGCAATTAACGGGATGACAGGAGGTACATTACAATAAATCAGAACAAACAACCATGGCATGATTACTATGAAAAATAAGTAATTAAATATGTACCTGCTAGATCCAACCACTTTTGGATAGTTTAGAGGATTGCAACATTTCAAGGCAATTTCCAGTAGCCCACAGATAGTATGAGGATCTTTATACTCACTTGTTCCATCTAAATTTTGTTTCTGAAATCCCCTGAAACCAAATAATCTATAGGAAATCAATAGGCCTATACTGTTATTTGGAGTGTTAGTGTTGGTACAGTAACAACTACCTATCACAAGAGCTATATTTTACAAACTAGTATTATTAAATTGTATTTTCTAATAATCATGGACTAAGTATATTGTTGGAAATAACAGTATAAAATCATTAGGTCATGAAAGAGACCCAAAATAGTGTTGAAAGTCCAAAAGATAATTTTTATTACCGGTTTAAGTTTAAGTAATTTAGTATAGGGGAGAGCGGGGCTAAACCATACAGCGAGGCTAAACCGTACACCCATTTTTTTGGCCTAGAATTCAAGCTAGGTGATCCCGACAAGTGCTGCTATCTAGCAGCAGAATGCGCAAGTTTACATATCTGCATCGTTTTGCTATGTGTGCTAGTTTGAATGTTTCAGTAGAAAAACATGTTTCAACTCACTTGCTTCTAATTATTGTCCAGTACTAAATAAAAAGATAGTGAAGTAGCTTTTAGCGTAGTCTATTAACTGTGGGATCATAATAAACTACATCTCTTAAGCTCTCTTTTGGTTATTAGCAATGATTGGTTAAGTGATACAATTTGAGTTTAAGTTTATAAACTAGTGGAACCCCGTCAAAATCTACGGTTAATCTTTAGGTTTTATGTAAATTCAGCTAAGTTAACTGCGTTGGATAGAGTGAAGTCATTAAAATCTTAGTTATATGAAGGGAGGATAAGCAATAATAAGTATGACGATTGTGTTCCCTAAAAACGTGATTGATGAATTCGTTTAACACAATATTTCCTACCTTTCTTTTTATCGGCTTTAGGCTGCCCAAAAGGTTTTTTAGGAGTCTTATAATTGTTTCTTCATGAGTTTGTTTCATACCAAAGCCACTTTCACTATATGGGAGAATGAGTTCATATAATCAGTCTATCATGTTACACTTTATACTTTATACTTTTATACTTTCTTATGAAATGGCGACCATACAATGTAGGTATTTTAAGCCAAGTATGAATGGAGATGAGTGTAAGATGAGTGGCGCGATCTTGTAGTCTTGTTAGTGACTAAGGCCGACATTCCTTAGACACAGCTGTTAATTAATAGCCCAAACAGCTAATGGCAACTAAGGGACCTACAGTTTATAGTGGAATCCGAACCACATTTTTTCCTTGGTATATACGAATTGGTCTAATTATCAGGATAGTACTGCGGATAGTTGTAGTACTCACTAGTGCGGACGTTAATCCACACCAGGGAGTATCCCATCCACAGTGCATGCCTATAAATATCCACAATCCGTGACCTCCAAGTAGCTGGATTACAGGACGACGCCACCCGTCCCAGTCAATATTTATTACTAACCACTAATTCCATCTGCTTTAGGAAAATCATTTAGATTGTATCCGGATTTATAAGAAAATCTTCATCTTTTTTTTATAAAAATATCTGATTCTCCAGAAAGCAGTAGGGTCAACCGGGGCTAATATGAACACACCAAAATATTGGGGCTAATATGAACAATGACTTTAAAAGTCATTTATCTGGGATTTTTAATCATGAAAAAAATATAATTAGAAAGGAAATTTATTGTATTTTTTGTGTCCATAATGAGAAAACTTCAAATTTGACTTTTAGGTACTTTAAAAAAATACTTTGTTAAAACACTTTTTTTCCGCCCAAAAAACTTTTCCGCGCAAAGTGAAAACTTTTGTTATAACAATTTTTACATTGGTTGTAGGAATAATCTTAAGCCTGAATTTTGTTAAATAAGAATTGGGGATTATTTTTCTTTTCCCAAAGTTAAAATATATTAATAACAGCCAAAGTTATAAGCTTTCAAAGTTGGGGGGCTAATGTGAACAGTGAATGGGGGCTATTATGAACAACAATATATACAGTATATATTGTACTATATATACAAGCTCAGGCTGACGGGGAGATCGAAGTGATGGGATTTAAATCCTGCGATGAGGAAAAAAAATCATTCCTGAAAAAAGAAGATGATATATTTATTGTTTCTACCACTGACATTTTGGGGAAACTTCCAGCCCCTAATGTATGTGGAACCAGTGATAGACATAAGTATGTCTTCGACAAAATTGTCGAAGTTTTTGAGGCGTAAGTTCCTCAATAAACTTCTTTGAAGGCCTTACAGTGATAAAACAGTTTTAATTTTACAAAGACAACAGTTAAGGTGTTGAATAGGCCTAGCCCACATTTTTATATTTACCTAATAGGCCTAAAAGTGCAATAAACTGTCATTTGCCTAAACGAACAATTTCCATTGTCTTAAATTATTGTTTTTTTAAGTGCTTTAAACAATTTGTATGTGGAAGAAATTTTTAATAAATAGGTACTCAGGTATGTTGACAGATAATTTTTTTCTTGTTTATATCTTATTATTAGCCTTGTATAATATTTATAAATGGTTTAAAAAAAAAGGGTTACCGTAGGGCGACCCGCGGCTCTCCAAAGATACCTTCATATCTCAAAAACTATTTGAGATAAAATATTGAGACTTATTGCAACTGGTAGACTAGACCCTAGGCTTGTTCACAACAGCCCCCACATATGCCTAGTGTTGTAAATAACAGAGTTATTAAGAGTGTTCACATTAGCCCCATGGGCTGTTCACATTAGCCCCTTTTAGCGGGGCTAATGTGAACAGTGGTTTTTAATTTTTTTTTAAATAATGGTTACATTTATGGTTTTTGTTAGTAAATAAATAGATTCAGCTAAAAGAGCTGTATACACTACTATTTTTTCTTTTCTTCTGTCATTTACCATTTTTGAGTTAATGTCAAAAGTTTACTTTTTTTGTTCATATTAGCCCCGGTTGACCCTAACATTCTTACTTCGATCTCAGCAATTTTAAATCCTTCTCTTGGCACATCGACCCATGTATTTAATAATCCTGTTCTTACTTAATAATTCATTAACTTATGGGGTAGTTTTGCCTTGGCCATATAGATCACATAAAGCTGTGCATGTATTTCGTGGATTGGAATGAACCATAATTATTGTAGGACATTTTATCACAAATCTTGAACATTTGCGGAACCAAATCCATAACCTAGTCCAGCATTGGTAACAAATTATGCAAATGCGATGAGATGTGATGACACTGTTGTGTTTCCGAATGTTTTGTATGTAGTGAGGTTTAGATGCGTTGTTCAACCTAGCTACATGTGTACATCAAAATAAAAACTGTGTACACATTTTTTTTAAGTACCTGAATTGACATTAGTTCACCTACTTTACCAAAACCATAGACTCCGTAGTTAGTCTATTCCAAAACTTGAACACAGCTCTCATCCTCAACGTACTCATCTATGACACAATTTTCAACCCGATTATCAAAAACTGTTATACCAATAAATGAATCTCAGGTGTTCTTTCTTGAATTTAAAAATAAATGGTGATTGAAAGTAGGAAAAAAAAGGCAAGCGCCAACCTTACAATATGTTTAAGCTAACCCGATAAGGAATAGTTATATGTTCCTTTGAAATTGATAAGTCACACTTATTTCATAATTTAAAATTTTCTAAGAGCAATAAAGCATAGATTTTTGAACAAAACATTTCAAACGTATCATAAATTCATCATTTTGTTGAAACTATAAAAAACTTGCCATGCAGTGGCATTTAAAATCATAAATAATAATGTAAACATTTAATTTTGACAGTTTCAGAAGACCTTTGAATACAATTTTAATATTAACAGCTGGTTCATTAAAAGTAGTGTAAAATTATCCATATGGTCGAAATGTAAACAAAATTGCAGAGTGAACTTTAAAGGCCTCAAGGAAATTTGCATCGTTTCTCTTTTGAGGGCTCACCTACAGACCAATACCTTTCTTTAGACACCCCTACAAAGTTTCTACGCCCAGCCGTTCTCTCAAATTAGCTATGACAAAAACCTCGTTTTCCTCCATAAGAATAACATGGGATGGGAATTTAAAGGCCAGTGGGGCAGAGCCCTGAGGGAATTCTCCATGTTTCTCTTTTGATGGCTCATCTACAGACCAGGACCTTTCTTTAGACACCTCTACCGAGTTTCTACGCCAAGCCGTTCTCTCAAAATAGCTGTGACAAAGAAAAACAGTTTCAAATTAATATATAGATTCCCACGAGGTACAGATTGGAGCTAGGCTAAACCGTACAGCTCTGGTACAGGGTGCTGCTCATGTTCAGGGTGGGTCCATTCAGCTTGCAGTGCTTAGGAGTCTGCCGATAACTACATTTGTAGAGTTTTTCTTCTTTCTTTTAATTTTGGGATGAAATTTTATAACTTTTTTCATAATAATTACATTTCAAAAATCAACCTAAGAAGATGTAATTTCTTCTCAAATGTTTGAATTGTAATAAATACACTGTTTCTTAACTACAACCTTTATATAGTAATAAAAAGTGGTTGTACAATAATTTGTTCCAGTACTAAGCAGATTATATTACTAACCTAAACAAATGATTTTTGAACTGTACGGTATAGCCCCTTCTACTGTACGGAATAGCCCCACCCCCCGGGGCTATTTCATACAAGGTAACTTTTTTTTAATTACCAATTTTAACATGTAAAAAATGCAATAGTTCCAAAATGTTTATATTACGTTTATATTATGTTTATTTTACTGCGTAATTTGCGATGTAACTACGAGTCTCCCTTAAGTGAACGGTATAGCCCCGCTCTCCCCTACAATAAGTACACAAGTTTAATGCAGACTATTTACATGTAAATAACTTATAGCATTATACTAAGTTATAAATAAGTTAAAGTAATCTAAAGACATCCCAAGAACAAAACAACCTGCGCAGAAACGAGAAGATTACGTGGTTCGTGCCGGTAGGTGTGGCGTACCCTTCAAACCTGCGCGGCTTGAAATGGCCCAGGGTTCTTTTGTTTCTGGGATGTCTATAGTATACAATAAGTACACAGGTCTAATGTGGACTATTTGCAAGTAAATAACTTATAGCATTAACAATTCAGTGCTCTCAGGTATGTGCCACATTTTTTTTTTTTTTTTTGCATAACTGCATGGTTTGCTGCTTTGTTTGCTGTGTGAGATTAACCAATATCAGCATGGTTTGCAATGGTGAAAATTGTATTTATTTTTACAATTTGGTTTGATTTATTTTTTAGTATAGTTTTGACGTTTCCTATTGTATTTTATTACTGAATGGTATAATAAATCTCTTGAATCTCTTGAGTGATAGTTTGCCCCAAAATATTCCACTAGGCCTATAATGTTATAGTGATGTGACGTTGCCAACAATAACTCTCAGTAGGCCTACCACCCCGTTCTTGAAAAAGTATCAGTAGGTAACTCACCAAGAAACTAGCCTATATCGCTACTGGTAATTCGGTAAAAATAGAGGATGGGCTTATGCGCGGCACGGACCAATAACAATGAATAGTGAATGCAAACCTTATAAGAGGCAAAATGCCCATGTAAATTGAGTCTGAGATATTTTTGCCAGTTTCCGCTAGGTAGGAAAGTTTGCACGCGGCGGATTCAATATCACCCCACAGTCAGAGCGGTGTGTAGAGAGAGAGGGGGGGGGGGAAGCGAGAACGAAGCTAGTGCTTACCTAGTGATGGCCACGCAAAGCTTATTTCGTTGGCAAAATCCAGTCTAACTTTTCCCCATAAGCATTTAGCTTCTTATAAGGTTTGTATTCAATCCCAATAATTATGGTAAGTAGTTGGCCAGTCTAAACCGAAGCTCGAAACATTGTAAAAAAATCGTAGCAACATCCAAGAACATCTCTTGCGTTCATACCAAAGTCCAAATAATCTCCAGCGATTGCAACAATATCAGCAATCACTCACTGCAATCGTGATATTTTTTACTTGACACGACAAGAAAAAATTGAATTGAATTGAATATTATTAGGGGAGAGGGTGGGTTTAGGCTTGCGTAAATGCAGCGTCACAGGGGGGAAAGGAGGGGTTTACAAAAAGACGTGTTAGCCTATGTAAAATGTGGACGGCCCCTATGAGTATTATGACAATGATAAAAAGTAGTTCTGTAGGATTAGACTAGTTGTTTGTCAGTGTATGTTAAAGGGGTTACACTTTAGTTTACAATTATCATGGACAAAAAGAATTAAATATAAACCGTCAGCTGTGCTGCGGTTCCCATTGGTTCTGGCACTCACCGCTGGGAGCGCCTGTAGTTACTGCGTACACGCTTTGAAACTACACGGCGCTCCCAGCGGTGTGCGTCAGAACCTATGGACCTGCAGCACACCTGAAAGTCTAAGTTATATTTAATTCTTTTTTGTCTGTGCTATTATACATTATACATTAACTAACAACTGATTATAATGAAACTGTTCCAAGATAACCTAACCTAACCAAACATGCTGTATGTGAGTAAATGTGGAGCTTAAACTTAAGTAGCCTATAGTGCAGCAGTTAAAACAAAATACCCCCGCCGCAGCAAACCTGCCGACTAAGCGAATTTCCATTTGTCTGAATTGATTTTCAATTAAGTTAAACCTATTAAAATGACATTAGGTTTAAGTTAACGAGTACTCTAGGATTGTTGTTACAAGGAAACTAATTAAGTGTGTTTAGTAAAATATTTATAGCGTACCGTAAGTTAGTAAAAATATATAAATTTGCCAGGTTAGATCAAAATATATCCATAAACAAGCAAACTAACTTACAACATTTTACGATACCTAAGTTATATTCTCCATAAGAATAACTTAGGAATTTTAAATTTACAATTTTTTTGAATTTTCCCTGTTACCAATAGCCGTACCAAAACACTTTAATATACTAAATTTATTTGTTTTTTTAAGCTCTTTAAAAAGGTCTAGAGAGAAATTTAGAAATTTAGTGTTTTGAGGGTAAAAAATTAGAAACCCCAATTTTCACCCCATATCATGCTGGTTAGCGAACTCATTCAAGTTTATCCCGCCTTACAACCTTAAACCAAATTTTATCAAAATTGGACAAAAATTACTCGGCTGCACTTTACTTGACGTCCTACACTCATTCGAATGAAAATATCGATCGATATATCGATTAATCGATTGCTTCATTCGATATATCGTTTGGTTAGTTAGGTAAGGTTAACCTAACCTAACTAACCAAACGATATATCGAATGAAAATATCGAATCGAAAAAAACAATCGAATGAGTGTAGGACGTCAAGTAAAGTGCAGCCAATTACTCAAGTTCTTATCGCGTTCACGGACACACACACACACATTAGCTTATATATACATAAAAAATCCAACAATTTGAACGAATGGTGTTTTTGAGCTCTGGGGACATCAAAGTGAAAAAGTAATTAAATCGTCGGGCCTAGGTCTTCCCGTGCCACCTACGGTAAAAAAAATAGCTAACTTCCCTATAGGAAAATTCGCTAAAAGCACCTTCTGACCTCTTTTTTTTATTGCACAAATATAGGTTAGGCCTAAAACTAGGGGGACAAAATATTAACACGTACTATTAATACCTATATCTTGATCCAAAATAAGATAAATGAATCAAATATCGGCGCATTATCAGTACTGTATGTATTATAATTTATCACACAACACAAATATGAATTTTGAAAACTTCAAAATAAAAATATTTTTATTATTTACCGATTACCGCAAAAATTTGACTGACATGACTACTGATCAAACTGATCTACTGATCAACATCAACATCAAGCAAGAAGACAAGAAGCGAAGAAGCAAGTCAAGATCAACACATAAACAACAAAAACAAAACAAGACAACATGAAATGAACAAAACGAAAACAAACACAAAACAAAGGGTATAAACCAAACAACGTAACAGCAGACGGCAACTAATGTGTTGTAGCATCGATTATACCATTGACTATATAACACTATTATATGATACTATTATATGATTATACATCTCCCCATAGATAAAACGGTACGATGTCATAGCTTATAATGTCATAGCTTATAATTGCGAATTTGTTGCATAGCTTATAATCTTGAAAATGTGGCATAGCTTATAATGGAAAATTTAAATTGTTCCATAGCTTATAATCGTAGAAATGTGGCATAGCTTATAACGGTTTTCTTAAAATGTGGCATAACTTATAATGGCATAGCTCAAATGTGCTGCAGCTTATAAAATCTCGTTTGTTCTATAGCTTATAATTTTAAAAACGTGGCATAGCTTATAACGCGCGGGAATTACGTCATAGCGGATGGGACAGCTGATCTATCCTGAGTAGACAAAAAAATTATCGTGCAATGGTCCTCAAATTATCGTATGGACTAGCAGCCGCTACTCGGCAATAAGAAGTCGCGTTAAGTGCAGCCAACGTAGCAAAACCAAAAGTATTTCAAGTTTTTTTTACTCCTGGACGACATATGTTATAGATGTATATATTAAATGGTTTTTTGTTGAATAATAGAATAATTTTTTGTATCTGCTGTTTTACTTTAATTATGTAAGCTGAAATATATTATCATAAGTTTAATATTGCTCGTGTTGCTTATTTATGCTATGCATGATAACTATTGTATAGGTAATATTTATTTTTTAATATTGTGTAATACCGGTGTAAAAATACTTTTTCATAGATAAAACCGTAGACTATGCAACATAAGTAGACTTCTCGTCCCATTGTTGATTTTGAAGCTTGTTTTTCGTTTCTATTTCATGTACGTCGACACTGATCGCTAGTGTAAACGAAATCTTGTTTCTATTATATTAGGGTAATTTTATGATTTTTGTGCTTTACTGTTTGGTTATATAACTAGGAGACCAGATATTTTTATGATAAGATAGTTTTATTTGGTTAAATTAGGTTTTAAATAACTGAAATAACAATTAAGAAACATATTGTAAAAGAAATACAACCTCTACAGTTGGCATAGAATAGCAATAAAATTGGCTTCAGCTTTTCAACAAGAATAACAAATCTTCTAGGGGACTTGATGTTTGATCTACGATCAAAACATATTTAGTAGATTTGTCATACTTATGGAACAGCTTAAGCCCAAATTTTAGTTTTATTTCTGTACGGTGCAATGTAGATTATAGAGGTCATGTTTTGTTTACAATTTGTTTCACTGTTTACGCCTTCATTTAGCCAAATAAAACGATCTTGTCATGTAGCGGTCAGTGTCACAGGACAAGCACTACAAAATAGTGCAACCCCCATTCCTGTAAACATTAGAAGTTAATGCAACTTTTCTGTTAAAAAGTAACCCAAGCATGATTTTTTATTGCAAGAAAAATTAAAATATTCTTCCCAAAGATCGGAAACATACGTTTGACAATAGTTTTGTCCATTGATGTAATTTCTAATATCAAAAATGGTATATCCAAGTATTTATAAACAGTACTAAAATTCTAAAATCCATACTGAACTCTACGTCATTAGCAAAACTTGACACAAGAAGGCACTTAGTTACCAAAATAGTCATAATGTAATGTAATAAGGAATAAGTAATAATTTCATTTAAGATTTTATTTGTATTGATCAAGTGATTCAGTACTAAGTAAAAGTGTAAAGAAAAAAACAGATTTCTAACAACATATTTAATATAAAAATATTCAAATATATTTTTACTCGTAAATACTCTCAAATACCTCTCGACTGACTGGTTCTTTACAAATTGGTTGCCCCTGGGTTGGAAGAACTAAGTGAACAAAAATATTACAACAGAGCGTTGGCAGTGGAAGCTTGATGTTAAATAAAAATTTAGTGGGCCCTGTGGAATAAAATTACCCCCAGAAGTCCTTAGGGGACGTTCTTGGTAGTGTTTAGTTCTTCCAAGGCTGAAAACAATCTTAAGACTACACTGACTCTACCTTGCACACTACCACACTAAACTTAGTGTTGCACCCAAGGTGTATCTTTTGTAGTGGATTCTTATTGGTTATAATTACGACTCTTTGAAAGAACTATATTTATGCTAGGATTGAAATACGAAAGGTTAATGATAATCAGTAAATAAATCACAATTCCATATATTTAAAAATAACTTCAGTGGAGAATATAATTATATTATAACGATGACACAAGGTGATGTGTTATGAAATGTATGGCCTTTTTACCCTAATATATTTGCCATTAATGTTATCACTACTATACATAATGTCCCGCCCTTGTGACATATCAAATGAAAAATAAATTTCACCAAACATTTTCTTTTTTCATGCTCTTTCATTTGATATGTCACAAGGGGTACCTTGCTATTAAAAAAAATTAAGTTCCGGGGAAGAGGGGGGGAAAATATCTCGCAAATTTATGAACCGATTTTAAATTTTTTTTCATCAAACATTTTCTTTTTTTATGCTCTTTCATTTGATATGTCACAATGAGTACCTTGCTATTTCAAAAAATTAAGTTGGGGGCAGGGGGGAAAGGGGGGGAATGTGAATGTAACGTTGAATTCAAAATAATTGGGCCCCCTACGTCAATAGATGATTCCCGCAAACTGCATATTTCTATCTATTACAGTTTTTACATAAATAAAGATGCAAGTTTAAAAAAAAACACCCTGTATAACGAACCTCTCGGTAGAGGAATGAAGTGATTGGCGCGGTTACAATATAGCCGCGACAGTGACATTAAGGTTTGAAATTTTAATGTTTGAGACGATCCAACACTCACAAAATCCAAAGACAAATGCTAGTTTTTTTTTGGCTAGTGAAATCACATTGAAAAATTCCCTGACTTTTCCCTGACGATTCCATGATTTTTTTAAACTTTCCCTGATCGAAAAATTCAAAATTACAATTTTAATTCTAACTAAATCTTCAAAAGGACTAATCTTTATCTGAAGAATATCTTATGTTTGTTGACATGCAAAAAATACATAAAATCTATAGATACAGGCTTGTAGCTTATATTCAAACTTTGCAGCTTGCTTTAATAAAATTAAACAGAGTTTGATAAGATGATACACAGTTTACAACAAAATTTAATTTGTACAAAAACACAAAATTTACTTGTACAAACATATTTTTTAGTTTACCGCGACACGGCATACGTACTCTCACCAGATCGACCTTTACAAACAATTATTTTAAACATTTTACAATTTTCCCTGACTTATGACAAAATTTCCTGACTTTTCCAGATATTTAATATTTCCTGACATTTCCAGGTCACTATAGCCACCCTGAAAGACTATAAAATTGAAGTGTAGATCTCGTTGTCCAATTTGTTACACAGTATAACTGTACGTAACTCAAGGCAATGGTATGAAAGATTATTTATTATTTATAGCTAAAGAGTGTTATGGCGGATACGTCTATATTGGAATACACTCCCACTAACTACAATCGCAAGCCAGAATCGAACCTGCAGCCCTTCCAAGTGTATTAAATTTTCCAAGTAATTGGCAAAAATAAAAAAAAAACTATTGGCAATTATACTCTTGTAACTTTTTGTTTGGAATAATACTGTGTTATGGGAACAATGTGTTTGCAATGACGATTATAATACAAACATTTTAATCAAATTACGTTAATTTTATCACAAATAATTGAACATTTATTTATTTTTTAGAATAATGATAATATCACTGACTATGTATCAATACCAATTAATTAGATCAAAATGGATACAAAATGTACTTATCAGTATCTGAATCTGAAAACATGTGCTCAAAGAACAGGAGGCCAAAACATAACATAAAATGTAACGGCTTGTACGACCCACTAAGAGTAATTATAACACTAATACAATAAATAATATATAGTTACTTACAACTGGACGTCAGACATAAAACACTTAAGGAATCAGAGAGAATAGGATGAGTTTTTTTCCAAAATGCGGACAAATTGAATTTTGGTTGAACTAAGACGTGAAATTTCGGGAGCGGTATGTATAAGTTGGTGAGGATGAAATGAGTTTTTCCTAACTTAATTTAATTCCAAACAAATTATATCCCTGGCAATTATATCCATGCGGCTGTGGCTTTAGGGTTTGTTGAAAATTAAATTTTTGCCAACTAACACTGCAAACTACGGATTGATTTGCATGACTCAACTTAACAACTCACCCCACGCATAGGAAGGTTGGAGACACACTGGTCACTGAGACAGACCCTTGGCTAGAAGCTTTCCCCACCATTCGGTACAAAAGAAAGAAATTTAAATTTTGCTTGTCGCTTGTTTTGGGCGACACACCAAGCCTTAGTTGCAAACCAAACTTGAGCATAAATGGGGCCTAAGGTAAATATCAGGGCTATCCCTAGGGTTGGCAGCGCCCGGAGCAAACGTGGTTGTGGCGCCCCCTCCCCTCCAGTAATAATAGTCGCATTCACATATTTTAATCAATTTTATGTATAGATAATGAGATAAAAGTTATAAATGAACATAATATTTGTATTAGCAAGCCTATTCTTTAAATATAATAATCTTAAAAATTTGGTTGTCCGGATGCAGGTTAACTCCTTGGGAGGAATTTGGAAATCCATTATGTCTTACTGGGATAATTATGAAGTACTTTTATTTAAGGACTGGTCTTGGTTGTGTTACTTACTTTTTTTAAAGTAGAAAATCAATATGATTAGGCTCAATAATGGAGTGTATTTTAATGTTTCATCAAGAATAATAGGCGAACAGCATTAAACATTTTGGTTTATAAAATATTTTTTAGATAAGGGTAGGGACCTTAATAAAACACAACAATGAATCATAATAGGTAGTCTATAAATTGGAGAAAGTTTTACTGTTTAAAAAATACTTCTTACAACACAATTGAAATAAATAAAGATTATAAGGCGAAGTTAAGAGCTGAGCAACCCTTCTGCATTCTTCTGTCATGATATCCTGAAACAAATAAACAATAACTCAAAATTGTTATCAGAACTAAATAGAGAAAGGGGTGTCTTGTTAGCTTGGTGGTTAATTTGTCCTGGACTTTGCTGCAAGAGAAATTGAGATTGACTTCCTTGCACAAGGTGAGAGGATTCAACATAATTTTTCCATGGATATTGCACACACTTGCCCAGCACAGCACAAACCTGCTAACAGCAGGCTACTACTAAAATTAAAGTAAAGTAAAGTACTGTAGAACCAAATCAGATTACGCTCTTGTGTCCACCATAGCATTATAGAACATCATAGAGCACTAAACGGTTTTCATAGTCTTTTATCAATTAAGTATTAAATGTATCCATTCAAATACATACAAATTATAACTGAGCCGTGACTAATTCCACCGGGCGAATGTCACGACTCATGATCAATGGTTCAAGTGTTTTTTTTATAGTAGGCTAGTTCAGTGTTTCTCACTCCACGACCCCGAACAAGGCTGTGGGTTTTGTTCTTATTACTCCCACCGCCGACGATTCAGAGGCTCCGAGACTTTCGTTAGCGCTGCATCGGCATAAATTTTGCATCGTCTTACATCTTAATTTTGTAGTATGTTTGCGTTGTATTTTTGCCTTTTTTCTTACTTGTGTGAAGATATTCTCTACTATGCAGTAAATTAAGAGCGCCCAGCGCGCTTGATGGGGCCCGTGAGGAGGAACATGTAGCAGCCGCATCAGCATTGACGGAGTGGATTCTACTGCTCTTGGCCACCCCTGGATCATGGCCCCCCTCTTCCGTCATGCTCGTTTCCCCCTCCGGTGCTGCTTGCCCAGAACCATTGAACTGAACGCCCTACCGCAAGTTACTTAGACCTAATTTATTGTTACCGCTATGGACTGAGGGATTTTAATTGTTATTTTGTTAATTTGTGCACAGATCTCTATTAATTGTTATTCCTTTTAAATTTTAAATTCTTTAGCCTAGGCTACTTGTTGATTTTTTAGATTTTATAATTTTTTTTACATATTCTATTAAATTTCAATTTTGGGGCCCCTAAATTTTCTATAGTTACCATGAAATGAATTTATTAAAAGAGTCATTAGATATTTCATTGTTGTAATTTGTTAATTTAAAAGGTTAAAACTGATTAAATTTACTTTGACTGAAATTAGCCTATTTTGAATTTTTTTTTAATTAATGTTTGTAAGTGAGTAGGTCAGAGTGGTATCAAAATTTTTTAAAGTTTAATGGCCAAACTATTATACATAGCTTCATTTTATGTTGTTTTTTGTTGTTCCGGATCGGTATGACAATCAATAAAAGGTTAAATTACCTCTGTGTCTGCCGGTCGATCCTATAACGGTAGGCTTACTTTTATTTTTACTATCTGATCTCGTTTGCATGGCTCAATCACGTCCTGGTTGAAGTTCGTTCGCTACGCTCACTCACCTGTATGTTGGAGCTCGTTCGCTGCGCTCACTTTCCTTCAGGTTAGCTCGTTCGCTACGCTCACTTGCCTTCAGGTTAGCTCGTTCGCTACGCTCACTCGCCTCCAGGTTGCAAATTAGCTGTTGTCATAAATGTAAAAGAAATAATAGTGCTAGTGCTGCACCCTGTTGGTAATCCTTGTAACTTTAATGCTATTGAACATCACAGAACAGAACCAACTTGTTTAATTGAAACAGCTGTTAAGATTCAATAATTTCATTTCTCATAAGGTTAACATGGGCTTCCAGAAATTCCACGTCAAAAATCGACAAAAACTTGATTTTCAAGGGTTTACTGTTAAATATCTAACTGTCTCATATTCGATGAAATACGTCTAAAACCATCTCATATATGTATAGTATTTGGAAAATAAGTTTCAGGCGGGACAGTGCTATAGTTATTGAGGAGTAGTTGTAATAAAGTGCGTATTTTAGCGTTACCAAGAGAATGACAGATAGACAGACAGACAGACAGACAGACAGACAGACAGAAATTGAGATAAGGTTTGATTCGGTTTCTCTGACCTATGAAATGTAAAAATAACCAAAAAGTTCATTATTCTAAGCAATGTACAGACAAAACTCTAATTTTATTTATATAGATGAGTACTCATAAGGTTAACATGGGAAACTCTAGAGCCACTAAGGCGGAGCCCAAAAGGATTTTTTAGATAAAAATATGCCTATACCTATGTTAATCGTGAATGTGAGCTATCATCATGCCAAATTTGAGCCCAATCCATCCAGTAATTAACACGTGATTGAACTTCAAACACACAAACGAACAAACAAACACACAAACTTTCACATTTATAACATTAGTAAGATAGTAGCCTTTCTCATTTCACATGATCTGACAAGCACGGTGTCTCATCAAACTAGTATGATCGTTTTTGTTCAAGCTCCTACATATGAGCAATCGATGTATCTAAGGTTTAATGGGTGTTGGGGAAAAATAACTAATTTAATTCTGTGCTGGTATTAACATTTTTTTACCACAAAAAGATGTGAAACTACTTTATTGTTACCAGTTGTGTGGGGGCAATAAACTATAAACAAATAACTTGATCTTTCCACATATTTAGACTGGTGTAGTTGTACAGCGTAAGTCTCCGGTTCCGAAGATAACGGATTCACATCCTGGAAATCACCATGACAATTTGATAGATGGCCACCCTGTGCGTTGCTTCTCATGAACGTTGGTGCGGCCATCTTTAAATGCCCTTACCCACCTACGTAGGTACAATTCCGCCACTCATAATTTTCTCCCCATACACTTCACTAATCTGTCAATGAATTTAAATGGCTTTCACACCTTTAGCACTTAAAAATCTAATTAGGTACCGGTACAGCGCAAACTTCACAGGCGACGGCAGTCTCAATTGGCGGCACCGTTTTGAATGCTCTAAACCGGATGTAAACACAGCCGATTTGTGCCGAATTTCCAGCGCAGGCTTGCCAATACATCCACATACACAGCACAAATGTCCAAAATGCCAATCGCAGCACTGAAACGGAGAAATTTAAAAACAGTACTTACTTAAATAACATGCCTTGTATTATTCTGTCACCATAGGTAACTCTGAAACTTGAACAGTGCTGTAAGTTGATTAAAGTGTATTTTTTTCCAAATATAAAAACTTAACCGCCACAGCACATCATAAGTTAACACGATGACTGCTGAAAACAACGTACAGGCGCTCCCAGTGGCGGGCGAAGCCCCGGCACGCAACCAAATCAGCGAACGCAATTGGCATTCAAATATTTCAGTCTGACGAATCACAAAAGAGCAGTGGTGACTGTGCTGCGTTACCCCGAGAGTGGATGTAGTTCACTGAAACACCCAAAGGTAGCAGCACTGCACGGATCCGTATCCAGTGTCTTTGTAATGTGGGTTGAAGAGAAAAAATCCCCGAAACCGGGACAAAAGCATTGCCAGACAGGATTTTACGGGAAATTTTAGTACCAACCTACACCAAAGTAAAGCTCGCATTCTAAGCTGGCAGGCTGGCAACGATTATAACGTCTCCGTCTGAGGCTAAGCTCACACTGACTCAATATATTTCTGTTGGTCTGGTGCCGACCTTCGTCGGCGCGCGCCACATTGAAGTGCTAGCAACGCCGACTAGAGTCGGCGTTAGCAGTCAACGTGTTAATGTTAAACAAGGACTGAAAATGCTTTTTAATCATATTGATAACTTAGCCAAACTTACTTATCTTTATTGCTTTCGATTCTTTTCCAAGAAAATTTCTCTCCTTCTTATTTGGCCCCAAATAAGCAGACAACTTCATCAATATTGTTTACATATGAAGTACTCTCATACATTAACACCAAACATTTGCAATTCTCCAAGCTTTACAAGAAAATTTACCTGGAACAAAAATAGGCAGTGTACATCATTCAGGCCTACTTCTTGTTAAAAGTAAAAACAGAATATAGAACTATAGGCCTAGCTCAAGGTAGGGCATATTTTCTTTGTACAAATATTTGGATTGGTAGATAAAAACTTAAAAACTCGAAGGCCACTGGTTCTCTCGGACCCAAGTGTCATTACCCAGGTGGAACTAATAAAGTGTGTTTTTTATTAAAACATTAATAGCTTAGTATAAAATAAAGCTTTCAAGTTTGATTTATAAAAATAAATATAGCCTATATATATATATATATATATACTTTAAAATATAAATCAAGCTTTTTGTTGGTCGCAAAACATAAACAAATAAAAAGTAGAAGAAGGTAGCTTCTAATGTTATTCTTATGGGACAAATTTAAAAATGTATTTTGAGGGTTTTATAATTACTACTGAACGGAATTGTCTAAATTTTATGGTGTCTTTCCATTGTTGTCATAATTAAGATTCGTGCAATTTTTTAACACTATAGGTGCAACGGTTAGCTTGAGTTTTTTATGCGAACACTTACACACACACACAGTTAAGCGGACAACTAATCCACGACTCCACTATACACAACACGATACATAGATAACATATTATTTTTTTTTAAATTTCTTTAGAAAGGTCTAGAGAATAATTGATAAATTTTGTGTTTTAAGGGTAAAAAATGAGAAAACCCCATTTTTTGGCCTAGGCCCCTTCTCTGCATAGAACTCATTAAAACCCGGTCCCATCGCCCGATCATGCTAGTTCGCGAACTCATTCAGATTTATCCCGCCTTACACCTTCAAACCGAATTTTCATTTGATTTTAGGTTATGAAAGAAACATAATACAAGGATATTTGCCTTTGCCAATTACAATCAATTGTAAGTATGGTGGGCTAATATGAAAAAAGTTGACCCATAGGCCTACTTGCCTAATTTGTAATTTTATTCATGTACTCAGGTATGTGTCACAATTTCATTTTATTAGGTAGCCTACATGTTTTTTTGCCATAAGTTAACTGCATGGTTTGCTGCCTTGTTTACTGTGTGAAATTAACCTAACTTAAGTTTTGTGACGTTGCCTATTGTAAGTTATTTTATAGACTACTAAATTTCCATTCATACTTGGCTTAAAATACCTAATATGTATCGTCGCCATTTCATTGAATAGTATTAACAGTATTGATGGTAGAATAAGTTAAAGGGTACAGTTTCTTAACTGGGCTACGCTAATTTTATTGAAACTATCGATTCGATTAGTAAACCTACATGCGATTTTTTCACCATCAGCAAGTTTGGTTGGTTAAGTTAGGTTATGATAATTTAATTTTATAATAAACTTAGATAGGTATATTTTAAAATATCTATTATTAATCAATATTTTTAATTCAATACTGTAGTTTAATAAAATATATTAACTTAAGTTAGCGTAGCCCAGTTAAGAAACTGTAGGAATACCCAAGTTAAATCTCTTGGCTCAGTATTATCACGCTTACCATTTCTAAGGTTACACAAATGATACAAACTTGATAGCCTACTTATATCGAATATAGGCCTACTCGAATACTTAATACTCATTCAAATGAGTGTAGGACGTAAACTTAAGGGCTGCACTTTACTTTATGTCCTACACTCATTCGAATGAAAATATCGATCGATATGTCGATTATTAGATAAGTTATATCATTTGGTTAGTTAGGTAAGGTTAACCTAACCTAACTAACCAAACGATATATCGAATGAAACAATCTAATAATCAATATTTTCATTCGAATGAGTGTAGGACGTAAAATAAAGTGCAGCCGTTGAATACATTCACTGATATTTTTATTAAGTTAATTGTTTAGGCCTGTCACAGGAAATCTGTAACTTGAGTCACAGCTACCTTAAGCTTAAGTAGAGGCTAGGCAACTGTACCTACTAACTTAACCTAATAACACTCAAGCAAATAATAGCCTACTGCGTTTTTGTTACTTTGAATAACAAGGCCTAGGAACAGGATTGGATTAAAACACAACTTACTGGATTTCAACACCTCAATAGTTTTGGAATTTTTTGATGCTTACAATTTATTAATAATTATTGTTCCTCTTCTTTATCTTCTGTCAACACCAGCCGGACTATTGACAAGATTCATTAATTTTCAATGCCGTTATCCTTCACTTCATTTTCATATCTTTTAACTTCTCTCTATAAATATTTCTTGCATTTTCATTGTCATATAGCATGTAATTGTTGCCATTTCTCGTATAAAAATCGTTTAAAAACATTTAAATAAATAAATGTTTAGGTTATAAATTACGATATCGCAGTTGGGCAGTTGTCAGTACGGTCCAATTACAATAATAATAATTATCGTATCCTACCATAAAATATCGTATATATGGTAGACCTGACTGAAGCGAGCAGCTGATGCCATTCCCACAATGCAACATTCTCTTCAATTATAAGCTATGCCCCAAAATCAGGATTATAAGGTATGACTCAAAATCAGGATTATAAGCTATAGAACAGAATCGGAATTATAAGCTGCGCCACTATTTGACCATTATAAGTTGTGAAACTGAAAATGTGTCATACCTTATAACGTTTTAGAGAAATTGTGGCATAGCTTATAATTTTTCGTGAAAGTGTGGCATAGCTTATAACTGATTATAAGCTATGCCACATTTTCAACATTATAAGCTATGGAACAAATTCACGATTATAAGCTATGACATTATAAGCTATGACACCCCACGGATAAAACATACTATGTTTTATCTATGATCCCCCCAAGGGGAGAATTAGTTTGGTTAGTCCATGGTTTTATATATGGTTGTATTGTAGTTAGGGTTGTGTTGCGGTTTTAGTAGCTCACAGAGAAGTAAAAACTTTACCATACTAGCCAAAACCAACACAAGTAAACTTCTCATCCCATTGTAAATTTTGAAGCTCGTCGTTTATCGTTTCTAGTTTATGTCCGGGTTACATGGATCGCTTGCGTCTAGGATTTTTTTTATTTATTTTAGGGTTAAATTCATGATTTTTTGTACATAATTTGGTTATATAACAAGGGGGCGGGTTATATTTTTATGACTAAATAGTTTTATTTCATTATTTATTAAATAGGTTTTAAATGACTGAAATAACAATAAACAAAATGTTAACGAAACGAAACACGACATTTACAGTGCACCGGACAGAACTGAAATGTTCGTACTCACTGAACTATTGACACTTCTCTAACACTGTTTAAAGAACTGGTAACACCGGGTTGAAAATAAGAAGCAGTATTATACTTATGATATTACCGCCAGTTGACATTATGGAGCGAAGGGATTACGTTACATGGTGAAGTCGGTATAGGTGGCGGGCAACTGAGGGTGAAGAGAAGTACCTCAACCGTGGCCACACATCCGAAATGCTTTAACAATTTTCCCAGCCCTATTTCACCATAGTCGCCCCAATATTCAGCATCACCGGTCTCACCAATCTCCCTGATCAATAACCCCCTGGCACACGACCAATCTAACCTAAGCTCACCACGACTAAAGCTAAACGAGCTAAACCACGACAGGTATATTGCTTTTCGTGGCCCATAACCTCAATCCACCTACAGTATGCAATAGTGTTTAGTTTAATAGGTTGTATGCTTCTGTGTAGAATGATATAGTGTTACTCCTGTTAAAATCTTGGTATGTGGTATTGTATATATACAAATTCCAGCTAACCACCCTAAAACTCAAAAGTAATAAAATTAACTCGCAACAATCAACCTAACCAAAACCAAAACACCCTACCCGAAAACCACAAACCAACCCTACAACCATCCTCAATAAAACAAAAACCACTCAACCCAACACACCAACCGGCCAGTTGTGGCAGAATTGAGCTCCGTTATTTATACTTCTCTGCTACAGCTGCTATCCTTTCCCCGGCTGAAGAGGACGAAGTAACGAAGTCGAAATCCTAAAGCAGCCTCAGTCCAGTAGGGTTTCAGCTCACTGGATTGGAAAGTCACCAAAAAACCATTCGAAAAACGGAATAATTAAAGGGCGAAGAGAAGGATCATACCGGACAGTTAGGGGATAGGACACTATCGGTGGTTGGTTTAAAAGGTTCCGTCCCAGCCGTCACACTCCTCATCCGTATGTAAGGTCTCAGATCACAGGAGCACGGGAGTGAGTGTGTTAAAAGGTTCAGTCCCAGCCGTCACACTCCTCCTCTGCATGTAAGGTTTTACATCACACGAGATAGTGTGTTAATGCTCAACCAGTAGTATTTATTTATTTAACTGAATTATCCGCTATATTACTTTTGTCGGGGACAGCTCAATTACTCCACAGATCATAGTCTATACGAGCTTTGTACATAATTTTATAAACAGTATATATAATAAAAGGTTAACTTAAGCACTACATCGAAATTATATGCTGTATATTTGTCTTTATTCCTGAATCAAAACCATAGACTAACCAACACAAGTAGACTTCTCATCCCATTGTAAATTTTGAAGCACGTTTTTCGTGTCTAGTTTATGTACGTGACACAAAAGCGCTAATGTCGACGAAACTTTGTTTCTATTATTTTAGGGTTAATTTCTTGATTTGTGCTTTACTGTTTGGTTATATAACTAGGGGACAAGTTATTGTTTATGATTAGATCGTATTATTTGGTTAAACGAGGTTTTAAATGGCTGTAATAACGGGAAACAAATTGTAAACAAAACACGACCTCTACAGAAAACCGTACAGAACTAACAATAAAATTGGCTTCAGCTGTTCCATAAGGATGGGAAATCTACTAAGGGAGTATGTTTTATCTATGTCAAAACATAATTTACGAGGCTCGTATAGACTATGATCTGTAGAGTAAGTGAGCTATGTGTTTTAACAATTACATATTTAGAGGCTCAAGTAGTGTAAGTGGAACCCTAACTGTTGGAACTAAGGGACTATGTTTTATCTATGGTACAATTGAGGAATATATATATATATATATATATATATATATCTATACTTATAAAAGGCAAAGCCCTCACTGACTCACTCACTCACTCACTCATCACTAATTCTCCCACTTCCCATTTACCTAGGAGGCTGAAATTCGGTAGACCGATTCTTTGGGCATTAAATAGGAAAACTAAGAAGTTTTTATTCTGATCGAGCTTTCGGGCTCCGCCCCAGTGGCTCTGGAGTTTCCCATGTTAACCTTATGATTTTTCAAATTTAAAAGGAATTAATGAATCTTAACAGCTGTTTCAATAAAACAAGTTGGTTCTGTTCTATGATGTTCAATAGCATTCAAGTTACAAGGATTACCAACAGGGTGCAGCACTATTATTTTTTAAATTTATGACAACAGCTAATTTCCAACCAAAAGGTGAGTGAGCGTAGCGAACGAACTTCATCCTGGAGGCGAGTTAGCGAAGCGAACGAGCTAACCTGAAGGCAAGTGAGCGCAGCGAACGAGCTCCAACCTAAAGGTGAGTGAGAGTAGTGAACGAACTTCAACCAGGACGTGATTGAGCCATGCGAATACTTATGAAGTTAAACGGGGCAAAGCCCGCGGGTACAGCTAGTATATATAAAAGGCAATGCCCTCACTGACTGACTGACTGACTCACTCATCACTAATTCTCCCACTTCCCACTTACCTAGGAGGCTGAAATTTGGTACACTGATTCTTTAGGCATTAAATAGGAAAACTAAGTGGTTTTTATTCTGATCGGACTTTCGGGCTCCGCCCCAGTGGGTCTGGAGTTTCCCATGTTAACCTAATGAGTACTCATATTTAAATGGAATTAATTACTCTTAACAGCTGTTTCAATTAAACAAGTTGGTTCTGTTCTATAATGTCAATAGCATTAAAAATACAAGGATAACCAACAGAGTGCAGCACTATATTATTTTTTTTAATATTTGACAACAGCTAATTTTAGACCAAAAGGTGAGTGAGCGTAGCGAACGAACTTCAACCCGGAGGCGAGTTAGCGTAGCGAACGAGCTAACCTTAAGGCAAGTGAGCGCAGCGAACGAGCTCCAACCTAAAGGTGAGTGAGCGTAGCGAACGAACTTCAAACAGGACGTGATTGAGCCATGCGAACGAGCTCACTTATGAAGTAAAACGGGACAAAGCCCGTGGATACAGCTAGTAACTAAATAAAGATTGGGTATTTGTAATTTTTGCATAAAGGGATGTGTGTAATTCAGAGTCAATCAAGGGTAACAATGTAGATTAAATCATAGACAAAAAACGAATTGCCATGTCTTTGTAAGTCTATGGCAATTTTTGATTCAACTCAACTATACTAAAAAATGAATTTAGAATATTGTTGGTGTGTCTGAACGTAAATTTGTTTAAAACACAATAACAGTAGTAAAAAGCAATATTACGTACAACTTAAGGAATAATAAATTATACGATGGTGAGCTGAGAGAGATTAGTGTTTGCTACGTTGGACGTACTGCACTACAGCTCTTCCGTTCGGTGCTTTGTTTTCTTTATGAACGCGAAGCGAACGCGGTGCGGAACGAACGAAACTACTTCCTCCTTCCTCCTCAATCGACAATCGCCTCGCCATCTTGTTTGCCCTGTGTATTCGGTCAGCAACGCGCTCCGAAGTTTTCTAATCGGCTTTTCTTTGAAAACCCTGAGTATTTACTTCATCAGTGGAGAATCTCTTACGTAAAATTTAAATTCACGATGAGTGACGACGGTCATCAAGTTAAGAGAAGCGTAAGTAGTAGTTTTCTCTTTGCTATAATCGGTTTATAACATGCTAACTTAAGTTACTAGAATTGTTTCTTTGTATTCTAGCATTCTCCATGTTACTTCTGCAATTTCATTTTTGGCCTATAGCCTACATACTTAAGGGTAGGCACATAAGTACCTACCTAAGTTAGCCTAGGTCTATTTAGGCCTAAGTTAGTTCTCATTGGTATAGATCATAGATTGACCCAGGCCCAGGTTTATTCTATTTGTGTTGCTGTGCTCCTTTCCTTCTACATAAGTTAGGCTAGATCTACATAATGAAAAAATATATGCCAAGTTTATGCTAAAATAAATTATAACCAAGTTTTGTGCTCAATTGGAGGACTGGATGGTAATAAGAAGTAGGGCCTAGTCCACCTTAACTCAAGGCCAAAGTTGTTTTAACCCTCCGAGTGTCCCTTGTTTTGGCCTTAATGTCTGCCTAATTTTTGCTCATTTGCAAGGTTTTATTAAAACGGATCTGAGAAGCTTGAAAACAATGTAAATTAACTTATACTGTTCTATATACCATTTTGTTTGGAAAATCATGGGCTTCAATAGGCCTATTATCTATAAAACATAAGGAACATTTGTTTCAAAAACATTTTTTAGGTAAAAAAAATATTTTGGAAAAAAAAAATAAATAAATAAGTTCGCGCTCAATGAAATTGTATAGGCCTAAATTATAGGCCTATAAATATTTGAAAATAGCCACTTTGTTCTAAATATTATGAGGATTACAAATATATAATAATATAAGGAAGTAGATTTGCAAATAAATAGGCTAAGTTATAAAGTTATGGGCAAGAAACAGATTTCAGTACATAGCCTAGTGTTTAGCTAAGAATGCATAGCCTATCCATAAGGAATCTGGCTGATAATTTACATCAATATCACTAAGTTACCTACTTCTTCAGGATCATCAACCAGCCCTTTAAAATCACTTAACCCTCCAAGTGTCCATAGTTTAGGCCTTAATGTCCACCTATTTTTGGCGCATTTGCAAGGTTTTATTAAAACGGATCTGAGAAGCTTAAAACAATGTTAATTCTAATGTTCTATATACCATTTTGTTTGGAAAATCATGGGCTTCAATATTATATATAAAACATAAGGAACATTTTTTCAAAAAAAAATTTTTTAGGTAAAAAAAAATATAATTTAGAAAAAAAAAAAAAAGTTCGCGCTCAATGAAATTGTATAAATTATAGGCCTATAAATATTTGAAAATAGCCACTTTGTTCTAAATTTTATGAGGATTACAAATATATAATAATATAAGGAAGTAACTTAGATTTGCAAATAAATAAGTTATGGGCAAAAAGCAGATTTCAGTACATAGCGTTTAGCTAAGAATGCATAGCCTAACCATAGCTAGGAATCTGGCTGATAATTTACATCAATATCACTACCTACTTCTTCAGGATCATCAACCAGCACTTCAAAACCACTTAAATCTTCTTATAATGCAACACGTATATCACTACTTTTGATTTTTAACACTAAAACAATGATAAACGTAATAAAACACATCAGTCATCGGTCGGAGGGTAACCTAGCTGTTTACAAATACACGCACGTCAGCTGTCTGCTACATATTACGATCGGCTCAGATAACGTACAGCGCTGAGACAGACCTCTGGAGAAAGCTTAGAATGAAACGGAAAGAACGATACCTAACTCGATCCAGTTCAATCCGATTCAGTCAGTTATAGAGCCTTCGCCGTAAACGATGTCTGCTAGTCGAAAAATCGACAAGTAACACTACACAAAGTGTGCTGCTTGTCGAATTTTCGTCAAGTAACACTGGGAGGGTTAAATCTTCTTATAATGCACCACGTATAGGGGCCTATCACTACTTTTGATTCTTAACACTAAAACAATGATAAACGTAATAAAACACATCAGTCATCGGTGCGAGGTTAACCAAGCTGTTTACAAATACGCACGTCAGCTGTCTGCTACAATATTTTCGGATCTAAAATGAAAAGCGCTTAGAGACAGACCTCTGGAGAAAGCTCTGAATCTGACAAATAAAACGATACCTAACTCGATCCAGTTCAATCCGATTTTGTCAGTCATAGAGCCTTCGCCGTTAACAGTGTTTGTGAGTCGATGCATCGACACAAAACACTACACAAAGTGTGTTGGGCCTATATCTCCATAATGTGACGAAATTCCTATTATAGAGACCTTTAAGTTATTTGACTAAAGAATCACTTGAAATGTTATCCATCCTATCTTGTTTATTCTATAATGTTAAGTAACTTATGTTTTTACGGTGATATCTTGAGAAATATTCATCAGCGGTGAAAAATAATGGTATAGGCCTATTTGGATTCAGGAGGTAAAAAACTATAAAGTAAGATATCAAAATTAAAAATTTGTTTGGAGGCACCTATACGGAATAAATACCACTCCAGCCTAACTTACACACATATTCAAGTTGATTTCATAAGTCTCAGTGATGCCTATATGATTATTCAGAAAAAGTTAAAAGACTGATTTGGACGTGGTCAACATGGTATTGTTTTGGCATGATGTTATTGAATTGATGAGTAGGCCTAGATAAAAAATATATATAACTGAAGGGTATGTACAAATAGTTGAGAATTATGACAAGTGAGTGGCTATGAATAATTTTTTGTTTACTATTTGCATGAGGAGGAAAACTTTGAGATTCCATTGTATTTATTTAGGCTATAAAAACATTCTACCTTAAATGTAAATGTGATTTTAAATCTAAAGGACTATTCACACCAGCATAGCCAGACTTATTAATACTTTTTCGAAATGCGTAGCTGACATAGCTCTTAATGTAATTCATAGAGAGTGTTCACACCGGCGTATTAATACGGAAGCTACGGCGCTGCCGCTACGCCGGCTAGCTACGTGCAGCTCGCATAGCCGAATACACGCACAGGCACACCGGGCGTCACCGCCACCCTCCCTCCATGTCATAATTAATATAGGCTAAGTAGTAAATTTTGGACTATAACACAAAAATTTATTAGGCTATCATTTAAAAAAAATCATTAAACGACGTTTATTAAAACGGATCTGAGAAGCTTAAAACAATGTTAATTCTAATGTTCTATATACCATTTTGTTTGGAAAATCATGGGCTTCAATATTATATATAAAACATAAGGAACATTTTTTCAAAAAAAAAAAAACCCTCATGTAATTGATACATTCAAATTATATTATATTATTTTAACAATCTTAAGACAACTTTATATGATCAATATACTAGGCTAATACTTCATCATACGACTACCTAACGTCCATTAAATTTTTTTGTTTATGCTTGCAAATCTCCTAATCAAAAACAAAAACAATGTCTCTCTTAATATGGTTTATTATGGTTCATAGGCTATAGTGGGCTGACATTTGTGAAACATTAAGGAATTATTTCTCGACATCGGTCTACGTCTTACCACTTACACCATAGGCTATTTTATTATGTAGGTAATCCTTATGGATGAGCTAAATTATTGCATGCTTTCTGGTAATACTGTTTTATGTTATAACATACAGTAGCACAAATCTTATAGTCTACTATATAAAATTAGAGTGAAATATTTTTGTCATCATTAACGCATTAATCAACAGACTTTTCAGGGTACTTTTGAAGATGCAATTGAACCGTGGCAATCTTAACTGAAATTCATGAAACGCTAATACAAATAAACAATAAATTAAGAAATATAAACAAACATAAAATAATATAATAATATAAACAAACAACAGCTGGCTCACCGGCTACGTAGCCGTCAGACGTAGCTGCGGTGTGAACAGTGCACTGGCGACGTATTAATACACCGTTGTGAACAGGCCTCTATATCTAATCAATGGATTATCATATCATTTAATGTTCTGCCGAATTTCGAGATGTTGGTTTATCAATAAGAGTTTGTTATTTATTTCAATTTTAGCCTTGTCTTCAGATACAGTACAGAATTTTTCTATGTTATAGAGCCCCAATGGGAGTGTTTCTGACCACCATGAAGAAAGGTCCAGGTCTAAAGAACCAAGCGCCCCAAGGTCACGTTCACCAAGTATTCATAAACCAAGCAGTCGTAGAGGAAAAGGATATTCCAGGTCCAGGTAAACCTTATGATGTTTAATTAATTTTTTGTCTTCTCATTTAGGCTTAGATATTTTAAATTAGGCCTATTCTACTCACATATAGGCTAGTAAGGTTTTTCTTGATCCTCTTCCTAATGGTTGTTTAAACATCAAACCGTTCCCCAGACGGCTAAAAAGTTGTTGTGCATCCGAGGCTTAATTTAGGCCTATTAGGTTATTATTGCTGACTTAAAAAAAGCTGTTGGAAAAGTAGGAAAAATGTCCATCTGATGCCAAAAAGCACCCACTGGGCGCACACTTTCTAGTAAAGGCTTATTGGTTTTCACACACACTGTCGAAAGCCATCATTGCAGAATCGTCATTATGCTGCATATTGTTATAAAATTAAAGCTTAAAAAGTGTACTGTAATTTAAAAACCTTAAACAGTTGTGAGATGAACACAGTTTTTGTTGGTCATACATAAAAAAAAAACCAATAAAAATGTATCATGAAGGGTGTAAAGTGTACGGAAATAACATAGTAAATTACAAATTCTGTCTGAAAATGGTCTTTTAAAATGGCCATGAACTCAAGTTGGTGTCTAACACCTTTTTGCATAACAATGCACGACCTCCCAAGTGTGACACACCCAATCTCCTTCAATTCATTATCCTAAATCAATCACCCTCAATCACTAACCCTACAGTCCCTGCTCCGAGTTACTTCCACGCTTGACTTGGTTAGCAGCAAAGCGCCTTGATTAGAAAAGAGGATCTCCAATATTGCATGTATGTAACCATGCGGCTGAGTTCACAGGTGGCGGGACTAGACAATGGAGTTTCAAAGCTCACCCACAGCTTTGATAAATGCCTCAATAGTAGAGATATGTGTGAAAAAATTGTAGTAGGCCATATTCTAGTTGTTCTTTCAAATATAGCTTAGGAAAGCTATATAGGCTACAGTAGGCCTATACCCTCTCTAATCCAGCACTTCGCCACTCTGGCACTCCATAAATCCAGCGTCTTTTGAAAGGTGAGGTCTTCCACGATCGTGGCAAAATTCTGATTATCTCCCACGGCCGAGAAGCCTCATCATCCACTCGCTGTGGTCACACAAATGTCAAATTCGTCTTGCACGATCGGTGCAAAATCATGAACATCTCCCACGGCCGTTTTGACAAACATATTGTCGTTGTGGGCAATCGCGGCAAAATCATGAACATCTCCCGCGGTCACAGAAACTTCGCCGTCGTCTTGGGCAATGGCCCTAAAAATCTGATCATCTCCTGTGGCCGTGTTAAAATTATCCACTCCCGTGGTCACGGAATCGTCGTAGTCATCTTGCGCGATTGCGGCAAAATATTGAACATCTCCTGCGGCCGTTAAGACATCATCGCCTCCTGTGGTCACTGAAACGTCATCTTCATCTTGCCCGAGTGCGGCAAAATCATGAACATCTCCCGCGGTCGTGTAGACGTTACCAAAATGGTGTTTTTAGCTTCTAGGGACATCAACATGAAAAAGTAAATCGGTCTCGGGCCTAGGTATTACCGTGCCACCTACGGTAATAGCTCATTCCCTATAGGTAAATTCGTTAAAATGTTAAACTCATACTGAGGGTTACATTTTTTGTTGAATTGGTATACTGTGTATACCTTAAAGTAGTATTAGAACCACCTACCTTGATATAGTAAATATTTCGAAGCTTCTAATAATGATACAAAAACAATTGTCTGTTTCAGGAGTCGCTCTCGATCTTACCACAAGTCTTATAAGAAGTACAGGTCCAGGTCAAGATCAAGGGACAAGAAGTACAAGTCACGTTATTCCCACTCTCGGTCTCATTCTCGCTCCCGTTCTGGGTCCTACAGTCCTCACAGCCGGCGTCGTGACAGGTCACACTCTCGCAGCCCCATGTCTAACCGTCGCAGACACAATGGCAACAGGGTCAGTTTAACTCCAGCTTTTATACTAACTAATACATTTTGTTTATTTCAATATTTGTCTTAGTATTTCTTTTCATTAACTTTTATATTCTCGTGAGTGATCTTTATTCTCTTACATTTTTTTTCTGATTGAATTGATAAATTTTTCTAGGTTTATAAGTGGTTCTGACCAAGTGTTAAACTTCTATTTGATAGTAAGGTTAAAACAAATCAAGAATGATCCTCTGAATCTTAATTTTTAAGTAAGTATATTTTTAGATCAAATCAATCAATCAGTGTTCATACAATATTGATTTATTTGAGGGATTTTAGTTGCTTTTTGTTTCTTGCTAATAAAAAATATTGTATCAAAATTCAAATAGGAATATTATTACATGGTAAATATTTTGGATAAAGAAGTGTAGGTCTTACCTATATGAAAGTAAATGTGCCAATAAAAGATGAAAAGTAGGTCAATATTAATCAGAAAATACTTATACTACTATTTAAAATATCTTAATTACAGTATAATTGGATTCTAAAGAGACATATATACTGGGTTTAAGAATAATTTCTGGTTCTCGATTGAAAAATATTAAACAGAATTGTTTATCTTCAGAAAGAATTCAAAGAAGAGAGAAAATCCAAGTATCAAGAACTGCACGATCGAGTAAGCTATACTGATTACTCTCTATTAGTGAACTGTTCAATGTGATCACTCCGGTTTAAGCCCAGAACAGTAAAATAACGTTTAGTAAGATGGATTTAACTGATATAATTCAAATGAGAAAGGTATAAGAGAAATCAGACGTAAAATACCAAAAAATATTATAGGTTACAGTATAAATCCTACCAGCCAAATTGGATTATAAGATGACCAATATTTCTTTTTTGTTGAAGAAAAGACCAGTTCAGTTGAATTAGGTTATACTTAGGCTAATACTTAAGACAACTAATATTTTTTCTACCTGTAGTATCCAACACTTTTTCCTATATTAAGCATCCCATTAAATTCTTAGTATACATTGTAGTGTACAATTAGTAGGCTTTTAGGGAATGTCTGTTTATACTTTAAGTAAATAGTTTTTAACTGAAATTTTGAATGTGATTGTAGGGGCTAGAGTTGGTAAACTCTGATATAGATTGCCAACAATTAATGAATTGCGATTGACCACACGTTACTATGAAAAATTGGTTGATATTTCATACTTTGGAAAGAATAGAGACTATCTTAGTCCTGTAACCAAATTAATTTTACCAAATGTAGTAAAGCGAAGTTTACAGTGAACTTTGTCTCATCAATTACTACTATCACTAAATTATATGTATTTTTTTTATTGCATTGATGACTCTTTCTTTAATATCCTGAATGTGAAAAAGTACATTACGGTACCTTTTGACTATCGTGCATTGGGATATATATGTTGCTTCTGAGTAAAACAGCCATTCCCGTTCATACTAACCAAAAAGTTAGCACACACAGTTTCCTAGGTAGACTGACCATCCCTTGATTTCATGGTAGGTTTTTTTTCTATTATTTAGGTTAAGTGAAATAATTAATCAATATAATACTTCTGTACCTCGTTACAGGAAATGTAAATGGATTTGTGACCTATGTTTTGTGTCAGTGAAAGCAAAATATTTATTACGAACAGAGTGTCTGGGACAGCTCCTGAATATTGTTACCTAATTTAATTTTACTGTGACCTGTAATGTGCAGAGTTAATAAACCAAGAAGTCCGGTTGAAATCAGTGTTGGCAGAGGTGCCATATAATCAAGCAAAATTTTACTGGCTGTTAAGCTGTGTCTTGAAAATTTCCTTATTTTTATACTCATGTAGGATTTAGTTGATTGCAACATCAATTGGTGGTTGTGGGACATTGGCATTTTCCAATGCTTTTACACTGTTTCAAGTATTGTAATGTGGTTTAACAGGAGAATCCCCAGCCCAGCAGGTGTTTGGGTGTGTTTGGCCTTAGCATTTACACAACAGAGCAACAGCTTCATCACATCTTCTCCAAGTACGGCCCTGTAGAACGTGTACAAGTTGTGATTGATGCCAAGGTAATATGTCTCATGTTTAGTTGTGGGAGTAAAATTTAGTAACATCTTGATTAGGCCTACCCAATCTTCTAGATAAACGTGGATGATAAGGCTATTTTATCTTATGTTTTACAGTTACAGTAATGGTGCTATTATTTTCTCAGTTTTCTTAATACAATTTTGTAATATTTTCATTGGGAAATACAACATTGTTGGGACACGGTTCCCATGGACCGGGAAACAGGTATAGGGTCAGGGAAAGTTTAAAAAAATGGCCGAAAGTCAGGGGAAACTAAAATAAAATAATGTCTGGAAAATTTTCTTAAAAACTAGTATAGATTGCGTTAATGTGTTTGGATGATTAGTAATATTAAAATGAGATAGTTTTGCTGAAAAGATTACTTAAGTTCTGAAAAATCTTGTTGTGTATGTAATTTTGATTACAATTTTTTTTTATTATTATAACATAGCCTAACTAATGATTTAGAATTTGATTTCTATTTGGAAGGACTATAGTATTAGGTAATAAATACCCCCGCCGTAGCAAACCTGCAGACTAAGCTAATTTCCATATACTAAGCTAGATCTTTACTAAAATATTCTCCCTAAAATTGTCAGATTTATTTCCTATTCAGCTTAATTTTAGTAAGTAGGCTACTTAGGTTTGGTGCTACAGGAAATGTAATAAAGAATATTTCTATTGAGATCTTGATAGCTAGTAAATCGGTCCTGGGTCTCCTAGGTCTTATTTCCGCAATGAGACATGCGGTAATAGCTTATTCCCCATATGAGAAATTCGTTAAAAAGATGTGCAAGGGCGGCTATGGTGATGATGGAGGCCGTTTTTAAATAAACAAGTTGTTTTTTAAGACATAAATACTAAACTTTTATCTAAATACTTACAAAACTCACAGTACCTAAAAAATATGCCTTGGTCAGGAAAATTAACAGAAGGGAAAGTGAGGGAATTCATTTGAGATATTTTTGTGGGAGCCCTGCTGGAATAGGTTGGTTAACAAAGAAACTTTACTAGGTCTAATAATATTTTTATCCTCTTAACTATGGGGGTTGATATTATTTTTCTTGTTATCCAACCTTGCTGCAGCCAGGTAGTTTAAAATGGATAATCAATATTCTACTGTGCAAGGAAAACTCAACAAATAGTGGATTTGTTTGCCTTTTTTGAAAACGTATAAATAATTTCTTATCAGCTAGATTACAGTATTTGTATCTTATCAAATTGATGGAATAGTATGTGTTTGAATTATTTATACTTTAAGAGGCCATTCTCTTATCAAGTTGTAATTAATTGTAAACAATTATTAAAATGCTTAGCTCTGCTTATTCTTTCTCTGATATTTCAATTATTAGATTATTATTCTAATTTGTAATGATAAAATACATTGTTTTGGAATCAATGTACCAGTAGGCAGAAAATATTAAGTTAATTTAGATTCACACACTTGAAAACAAATAAACAATCTTATTGCTGATTGTATTTTCAATAAAAATGTCAAATTTATTTCATATTTAAATAACATAAGTTTTTAACAAGTATGTTTCTTAGGTTTGCTGCTACAGGGAAGGTAATAGAAGTGAAATGTTAATAGTTTAGTGAAATAAACAAATTTTCTAAATTTCATCAAAATATGTTCATAAACAAGTAGGCTAAACTTCAACAGTTTATACTTATTTGTGTTCAAGGGCACACCTGTACAATATTTTTAATGGACAGTGTTTTTGACCTCTAGCGAAATGAAAATGAAAAATAAATTGGTCCCGGGTCTAGTTCTTACCATGAGACCTACCACGGTAATAGCTTCTTCCCTATCAGGAAATTCGCTAAATTTCTGTTATGTATGGTATTTTAGATGGTATTTTTGAAGGTTATATGAAGTAAATGATGAAATATGAGATGGTTTTATATATTAACCGTCTCATATAAAAATAAAACCATCTCATATTTTGTCATTTACTTCATATAACCTAAACATTTGGTTGATTTTTTTAAAAATACATTTGACAAGTATCATTTGTATTTGTTCCTAATATGTTATCTTTTTGACAAATGTTCTCAGTCTGGAAGGTCCAGAGGATTCTGCTTTGTCTACTTTGAGAGCCATGAGGATGCCAAGGTAGCCAAGGAGCAGTGCACTGGTATGGAGATTGACGGACGTCGTATCAGAGTAGACTACTCCATCACACAACGAGCTCACACACCCACCCCTGGCATATACATGGGCAAACCTACCTAGTAAGTGCATGTCATAGTTCAACTAACTATTTTTCGACCCATTAAACGAGCAGAGCATTTTATTAATTATGAGAAATTGTAGATTGAGCTGTAAAATTCACTGTCCAGTTTGAGTGGCGTCCTACATCTGCATTCCTATATTTCATGGAAAATCCTTTATCTATGGGTTTAAATTGCTTTTGATTCATGTTTGATAATTTCAATAAAGGAGCAAAAGTAAGTAGGCTACCGGTAATACCTTTTCTGACAATTTGTTTGATTTTGTTTCCATCAGGTTTATAAGTTTCAAAGCTGTCGTACCAAACTGAATCAACATTCATTAATGCAGATATTATAATGTAGGCCTAGTGAAACAAAGGCAGTTGGTCACTCGGTCTATAAAAGTTGCCCTCTTGTCTTGCGTTTGGTGCTCACTAATTTTAAAAGAAACACAAATATTGAAACTTTCCAATAAGAGATTTTCTTATTCCTAGGTTAAGGTATTTGAACATGTGCAAGGCCTTTATGGGCTACTAGTAACACTTTTCAACCCTGTTACAGTTCCAGCAACTATGACCGGTACAACTATGATGACAGGGGCTGGGGAGGCAGGAGGGACTACGGTTACAAGTAAGTACACTTGTGAGAGAAAAGAATTTATTTATAAAAAATAAATACATCTGCCTTAAAAAATAAGGTTGCCCATGACACAAAAAAATGTACACTTAAAATATTGAAGGATTATACAGCTATAAGACTGATTAATTTTGATGTTTGCCATATAGATGATTTCTCATTATGGTCAATGAACCTCTTAATGTTTCATGAATAATAATTTTCTGTCATTTAAATATTCCAACATATCCTCCTTGTAAACATTTCCTAAAACTAGGCCTTTATATATTTTTTGGATCGGTTGCTGAAGGTCTAAGTCCCGGAAGGTCTAATTAGACCTTCGACACACATTTTGCAGTTTGTCCTTGTTGCTGAGGGTCTAATCTGGCAGTATGTCGAAGGTCTAAGTCCCGGAAGGTCTAAGAGTACAGTCAATTCAAAAAACTCATCCACTGATACTGTTTTAGACCTTGCGGGATTAGACCTTGGGCACACAATGTATATTTTGTAAATAAATGTTTATAAAATGAGAGTTGCTGAAGGTCTAAGTCCCGGAAGGTCTAAGATTGGAGTCCCGGAAGGTCTAAGATGCGGGCGGGCATAGCGTCGCCAGAGATGAAGGCTATACGCTATACAGACAGGCAATAACGCAACAACTTTTAGGGTTGTGTTGTAATTATCGAGATGTTTCATTCACTCCAAGATCGTTCACTCCAAAAAGTAATTTTAATTATTTGCCTGTTCATTCGCTCCACTGTTCATTCAATCCAGTGGGTACAGTCAGTTCTACAAGTAGAAAATATTAATTTTGCATTTTACTGTACATTGGATTGAATGATCACGATAATTTAAATGTGTAATAATCTTAAACTTAAATTCCATATCCAATAATCCAGAGATTGTATAGGTGGATTCAAAATCCAAAAGTTTTGATGTTAATTCTAGTAGTTTATTTACCACCTGCTACTGTTACTGCTGTTATAATCATGACATCGTCATGTTGCAGTGACTACTACGGAGGTGGCTACAGAGGTAGTTACAGAGGCCGATCCCCCTCCCCGTACTACAGCAGGAGGAGGAGTCGATACGACCGCTCTAGATCCCGCTCTTACTCTCCCCGTAAGTAACTCTTACATCACTTGTTTGAATTGTATAAGACATAAGTTTTATATTGGCTTACGCTAATTTTGAAAAAAATTAAGAAAGTTTGTTCAGAATTTGCTTAGCTTTCAAATATAATTTAGGTGTTTTTCCTAATATCTTTCATTTTTCTACCAAAATTTAAATGTTTAAAGTGTGGATAGTAACACTCAATGTAATTAGGCGCCATTACACAAGCAGTAACAACACTTGGGTAATCAACTTAATTAACTACATCAGTTGTGGAGTATATCTGCAGTATTTCTGGTTTATATTTTGGTAAATGTTTGATATTAAGGCCTGCTGTTGTCTATAAGTATTTTTTAATGGCGAGCTGAAAAATTGGATTGTTAAGAATCACAATGTTTTCAAGACAATAACTTAATTTTGCCCGAATATTTATTAAATTTTAAATTGTTAACAATGAGGTGTAAGTTTGAACCATCCACATGAAAATATCAAAATGCTGCTCTACAAGTAGCCTTAATTTTTTTTTTTTTTTTTGTATGCTATTTGTTGATCTTTTGTTTTATTTGTAGACTGAAGTAATTGTTTTATGTTAGAAATATTGGTTATTTTAAAGTAACGTTTGTGTACTTTTGCAACCTACATTTTAATTTCTTGAAACCTCTAATTATGGCTCCCAACAATTCAACAATTTATCCACAATGAAATACTTGTATGTATGGATCAAGTTTTCCATTACCTATACTAGGCTTTACATTTTTTGTTTGTCTTTTAACGGCTTATCAGTTCATTGCATGTCTCTGATTTGATTATCTACAAACTTAGCTCTGTGGTTTTCAAATTTGTGTTAATTTTCAAATCTTTATCAGCTATTGTATACAAGAAAACATTCTTTTACATCAGCTTAATTCTTTTCTGTGTTGAGGATTTGTCCTCCAAGGAGTTTTCTCCCTCAAAATGTTAAATATTAAAACAATCCCCTGCAGCAACTTCTGGCCAGAACTGTAATTTTGGAGCTTGAAATACTGCTTTTAAGTTAAAAGCATTGGATCAATATTTAAAATTTATGCCATTGGACTTGGTGAAGTGTTTGAAATGCTCCCCTCTTAAGACCAAGTTTGTAGTATTAGTGCGTGGAAACTTAAGGGGGTATCATCCCTATGGTAACAATGTAAAATTAGCAACCTTAATGTCCCATTTGCTTACAAACCCCTAGAGCTATCAACCTGAAATTTTTTAAGGTTATAAGTCATGCTTTTATATAAAACTGGTACCAAAATGATTTACTTTCAATAAAATTTTAATGTCCAAATATTTATTTTTTATTTTAAATAGACCTTCACTTTTTTGTGTGTGTAAATGGCAGTAAAATTTTTCTTAGGCAGAGTATTTTATTAATAATTTAGTACCACTTCTGTGAAATAGCTTCAAATATATTCTGTGAAAATTTCATGGTTCTATCTCTTGTAGTTCCTGAGACAAAGGGACTTTAAAGTTGAGATTACTAATTACTCAAATGTAAGAAAAAATGACTGTGTATGGTTTAATTAATAATATTATTTCTAAGGTTAGGAATTTTTTAGAACAACAGTATAAAGAAGGTGTCATTTTGTTCAGGAAGTAACAGGCTTTAATTTGAAACCAAAATAATAATAAAAATTATAATTTTTTTTTTTTGTATGATTCTCCCTTAAGTTATTGTGTAGTCTGATAAAAAGATAAGGCATTTACCCAGGAATGTATAGGCCTAGCAATTGCCAGGGATTATTTAGGAAATTGACAGGAAAGCAGGCTTACCTTTAAATAAGTCCATAGAGGCACATAAAATATACAACACAGAAGTAGAAATCTTTGTGGTCACTTCCACTTTTTCAACTCCTGGAGAAAAAGTGGTCAGTGACTACGAAAATTTATCCTTTAGTGTTGTATATTTTATGTGTCTCTATGGACTTATTTAAAGGTAAGCCTTCTTTCCTGTCAATTTACTAGTTCCTGTGTAGGTTTGTGATTTAGTTACAATACACCCGTCACACAATTGTCCCAGCTTCTGTTGCTCTTTAATCGTATTGTAGTTACTTTATTTTGACCTTCACTCATTTGCAGCTTGTTATGAGTGAAGGCCAACAAACTGATGTGTAGAGATCAGCCTCTTTAAACATACATGTTGGATGTTGCATTACAGGTCGATATTAGGCGATTGTTGCTGGGAGATGCTTCTCTGCGATTCAATTAGGTTTAAGAAATGACTCTGTGACAAAACCTTAAATACTTGAACTTCCCAATTGTGTCCTAGTTTGGTTTATTGTTTATGTACACCAGTTTTACTTCTTAAACGTCATTAGTTTGTTGAGTTTTTCAAAGCTGCATTTGAAAATCAGGTTTTGTCATCAGCTGTATTGTATCAATTGTTCAGTTCATAATAAATGTTTTCAAATAAAAGTGAGATACAGTCTATATTATTTTCTTTTAAAATGTAAGTTGAGAATTATTTTTAACTTTAAAGTTTAGCTTCATACTGGCTGGACTCTCAGGATTTCTGTATTTAGTTCATAAAGCATAATGTTTTTTGAGGATGCTATTGTAAATATAGTATTGGATCATCCTCAGTCTTAGTTCATTTTAGGGGTTTTTTACTGCTTGATAAGTGTGTTTTTTGTTTTAATTTACAATTATTTTATGACAGTAAATTAATGTGACTACTAATTGTAGATCCTAAGTGATCCATGAAATAGTGCAAACTTTTTAGTCAAACAATGTCCAAATAGTCTTATCACTGCTGTATATTGTACCTAATCAAACGTCTGTGTATCTGTATCTGTTTCAATAAAAAGCCAAAAAAATAAACTAATATTTTTTTCTTTGCTTGTTATAAGGTTATCAAGAAATAAGAGAATATGAAAAAGGGTAATTTAACGAAAAAAAGGAAGAAAGAGAACAAAATTAGTAGAAGCTCAAGCTTAAGCGAAAAATCTCTCCGCGTTAAGAGAAGATTTGAGCAAGCAAGCCTCTGAAGAAAGAAAACAACGGTCAAGGCGCAAGAGCATTGACGTTGAAGATCTTTGGATCTGTTAGGAGCTAAAGCGAACCTTTGCAAGTTTTCATAGATTTATCCTTCAAACTTACTTTGGAGTTTTTAAAGCATTTTTTTTCATGCTCTTATTTCATTTTCTCTCAAAGGATTTAGTCCTCATATTAATCCTGACTACCCCGGCGTTTAATCAAGCAATGTGAAAGTATTCACCTATAACCATGCTAGGCCGAAATTATACTCATTGTTTTTGAGTTATTAGAAAAATCCACAATTCAAAATTAATAATTGTCTTAATTTTGATTTTTGTAATATTCCATGTAGTAGACAATCAACTTGCACAATTCTCTTATAAAAAAAAAAAAAAAAAAAAAACACATTTCACTAGTAATCAAAATAAATTTAGTAAAAGTATGCCTTTCAAATATCTACATGACAAAAATTGTGCTCCTTGCAACATACACAGATTTATTCTACTTATTAGGTTGTTGTTTTTAACACGCTAAATTTTATCCCAACAGTATTTATTTGCTTGTTTAAACATTAACTTAGTATTAACATTTGTCCAGTTCCTCTTCCAGATTTATTGTTTCGGCCAATAAATTGTTTGAGCTGATCATTGTATTTTTTCTTATGTCCTGGTCCTTACTTGACTAAAGTAAATAATGAATCTATGACTACTTCTTTCTCATTTTCCAGAAATAAATTAACAGTTTTGAACATTAATTCAAGATAAATGCGCATTGACCATTTTGGTAAAATATAACATGTTAATGTAGTAGTTCCCGCAAAACCAAAGAAAGTATAGTTCTAGGGTTGCTAAACCTAATAAATCATGTGGGAATAAGCGTTTTGTATACTGTGTTTAATGAAGCACTAAAAATGCTGTGCTTTCATTTGGCAATTTCTGACAATAATCAATAATCAATCATTAAGATGGGGACGCCACTTAGGTGCGTATTTTAACCCAAATATGAGTGAAGGATGAGTGTGGAATGGTGTGAGATGATCTGTGTAGCTTTGTTACTGACTAAGATCAGCTGTTTCATTAGCCAGGATCATTTATTTAAAGCCCAATGATCAGGAACAGCTGGGTCCAGTTTCGAACCATCAAAAAGCTACTGACTTTTCTCAGGATCGAACCGGCGACCTTTTGATTAGTAGGCGAGCACTATAACCACTCAGCTACCCAGCCAGTCAATACTGCTATTGTCCACCACTGTCCTTGCTCAAGGACAAGCCATTTTTGGACAGTTCATTTATTAACAACGTTCAATTTCATTAAAAACGTCAAAGAGTCTGCCTAATGTAAGAATTCATAAACCAAAACCAGTCGGTATTATTTGTTCATTTGGCGATTTCTGACAATACTGCTATTGTCCTCGGACAAGGACAAGCCATTTTTGGACAGTTCATTTATTATATTTTCATTTATTAACCATTAAAAACATTAAAGAGTAGGCCAATGTAAGAATTTAGATAAATTAACTATAAACCAGTCGGTATTATTTATTTACACAGATTTTACATGAACTATAACTTGAAAATTCAGGTGGAAAGAAAGTAATGCTATCAAGCTGATCCAGAAGTTGTTGAACTTGGGTGTTGCAATACCAGTTACTTGCATGAGATTTAGCCGCGTTTACACCGGAGTTAAGAACACGTATTTACAACTGACCTCGTGTTCTCGGGAACGGTGATTAAATTGTTTTCAACAAAAACATATAATACATGAAGGCGATTTATACAAAACACTACTCCTCCGTTGATAATGGTCGGATTTTTACATGTAAAAATTAAGTATTTCTTCCCTGTTTTGTGTAGACGTCCCCTTTCACCAATTGCTGTGATAAAAGTCCTCGGGCTTTGCCCCACAGGCCATCAAAATCCCAACGTATTTCTTACGAAGATTTTTTTTTACTTAAACAGACGGATAATCAGTATTATTTGCATACTAAAACAGCTCTTCATAGTAAACACGATACACACAAGAGGGTTCGTTTTCAGAAGAGTTTGCTTACAGTTTCGATAACTGGAGTGAAGTGATTGATTACATTATCTTTTAGTTGACTCTTTTAAAACATCGTAAATTATTACTGTTATTCGTTTGGAAATGAGGAGAAAAGGTAAATTATTATGAGAATCTGATATTTTTCATCACTCTGTATTCGAAAATAGCCCATTTCCATTACAGTTGAGATCTTCGAAAATCGTCAATTTCCATACACAAGAAACAAGTAGTGATCAGCTGACTTTTCCTGACATAAACATTACTTTTGCTAAACAAACAATTCTTTGCCAGTTCAGTTGTAACATTAACAAAGTTACACCTGAAGTTTTTTAAGTTTGATAAAGTAGTTTTTTCGTCGTGATGAAAAGTATCGTTCAATACTCGTCACGAAAGCCCCAGGCTAACATTGCCGGGACTGCCATTTGAAATTTATTTACTTAGACTGTTGGAATTTAATAGATTTTTTAATTGAAATTGACATTTATTTACTTAAAATGGTTATAGAATGGTAGATTGACAATAACCATAAAATTATAATCTTGGATTTTTTGTAGTCTATAATACCCAATGCTCATAAAAATCATTCTTTGGTCAATAAACTCTGAAATAAAGAACTATCATTTAACAAAAAATAGTTATATTCATGATAAGTATATACAAATACAAAATTGAATAGTTAAAAACATAACACTGCATGTAATTTCTAATTAGTCCATTTTAACATCGAAAACCTAATTACTTAAAAAAAAATAACAATTTAATTACTTCAAATCAAAAGTCTTTGTGAGGTTTAATACACTATTGTGGTCAAATGCTGTATCACCAAAATGTACATTTGGACTTGGGGTTCATAGGGGAGCCGAGGGGGCAATTGAAGGTCTGAGCGAACTGAGGTGAGTTGGTCAGAGTACCTTTGACACGGAACACATGGGGACTGTGCGGATCACTCAACACCTCCTGTAGGAGCGACTCTTTGGTGCTTGACTCACACCAATTCTGTAACAACAGGAGTATGCACAATAATGTAGAACTGAAAAATTACAGAAAAAATGGTGCTAAGTTATTATTTTTCCAATGACAAATCACACATATTTCTGTAGTTCTGTTTAATTTCTACCGGATCAGCATCAGTAGATTTTGACCTGAAGTAAGAGACAGAACAAACGAACCAGGTTCTTTTGAAATGAAAGAATAGTTAAAGAATATCTATAGTTAAGGTCTCTAAAGAGCTACCATTGCTGCCAACAAATTGGATACAAACACAATTCTTTACTCCTGTCATTACTATCGCTATTCTAGCTGGTGATATCAAGCAGGGCTGGCAGCCCGGTTACACTACTTGCCTAGTTTAAGGCTCAGTTCTTCTTGTCACCACGTCATCTGTGGGTTCTTGTAAACAAGTACTAAACCTATTTTTGAGGATGTGTGTGAAAGAACTTTGTTTTAAAATGCCCCCCAATCAAAAAGATCTGCTTTGGTCGCCGCCAGCACGCTTCAAGAGTTGATCAGACTACATTGTTGGCTGGCGCCAGCAAGTGCGAGTGGTCACAGGGGAATGCTAGTCACTGCTTACTTACTATACCAATGCAACAATCAGTTCTTGGATAGTTATTTGTGTAACTAGTGAGCAAATGCACACAAGATAAATGTCAAAACAAGCTTTGAACCGAACGGGAAATACTGCCACATGGTTAATAATCTCACCTGGTTTTGGATTTGCTTACAAACGTGATCGGAAATGGTTAGGGCCTACACAGTATTCGCAAACAACATTTATGTAAACAGCTAGAACACAAGAGTTTCCTAACCAGTGTTTCCTAGCATGTGGTATGTTAAGAGTTGAGACCATTGCGGAGGTGTTGATCTAAGTAAGAATAGAATATTTTATTTCAGGATTGGTTCGTTCTTATGCATTTGCACTGCTTTTGAAGTGATGCCTACTTCACTCAGATACATCCATTGTGAAAATATATTTTTCTCGGGAAAGCTCGTCCCCAATTTGGAAATGATTGGACTTCAGCTTGGAATGGATCTTAGACCAGATGTTCTCAACTTGACTTCTTCATCAAGCTCAGTCTTCTCATTTGAGTTTTGTTTTACATTTCAATTGTATTCTCCTTCCAGCATAATGTATATTTTCAATTAGGCTAATTATTAATCAAATGTCATAACACATAATTCTTTTGCAAATTCTAGATCTCCTAATAATTAGAGGATTAGTTAGGTTAGAATGGAAAAATAATGAATATCCTAACAAGTAAAATATTGTTACATATTATTTGTATGCATTGTTACAATATTATTTTACATGGCTCAGTGGTAGGCCTACCCAAAATATTTTTTTCCTTGTGGAGTGGTAAATGGTTGGGTAAAAACTGGTCTAAGGCTATTGAAGTCTGTTTGGGTAAATTTTAAGAGTATAGGGGGATTAGGAGGTGGTTGCAAATTTTTATAACGTTTGGCATGAAGTAAGCTGCTTGTTTTTTGCAGTGATCAAAGTTAAGGAAACTTGGGATGTGGATCACAGTTTACTGAACGATTAAAACTTTAATCTCTGTCTCTGTGGAAACAGATACACTCTCAATGCTTGCCTGAGTGGCCTTATTATGCCTTCAGCAAACTTCATTAAGTCTAAATACTTTTCTGCATACACATCTGACAATTGACAATTGAACTCTATTCATACTAGTAGGGAGCACTGATTTTCTCTCACATCATTATGAGATACTACATCAAAACCAAACAAATCTTCACAGGGGCAGGGACTGGCTTGAATAGTTTTTTTTTAGAAAACAGTTTTTTAGCACTAGCTTTCTTAACAATAACAGGAGCTCAATCGGGACCTTAATTTATGGACAAGCCTATGACTGCAGTTAGCCCATCCAATCTTACTTACTAATTCAATTCTAATGTATTGTTATCCTAAGTTTCTTCTGCTTCATCCTAAAAAGAGACGGGAGTGAATTTTCAAGGAGGTTCAGTTAACTTATTAATACCGTGTGTATGTTAGTAGAATCTAGAATCATACACTACTGCAGAATATTCTAGTACTATCTCACCCTAGCAAATGCAATGAAGAACAAATGTTCCGGAGAGAACTGCTCCAACCCGGGAAGCCTCTTCTCTGGTCCGTGCGTCTGAGTATACCTTTGGTAAGCTGCAAACGCCTGATGTAGCCCTCCATTGTCAGCCATATTCTCTCCTAGGGTTGTAACCCCATTCATCTATAAAGAAAAATATTTATTTACAAGTTTCCATTTAAACATTTTTAAGGTTTACATTCCCTTTAACTTTCTTGAGTCAGATACACTTATTTAAATCAAGTTGTTGTATTTAACATGAAGAGAAGAGAGTTTTAGAAACAAGAGTTTATACTTAACAAGAACTATTTTAATAATTTTTTTTTTACAGTCTCTTAAAAAGTAAATTGTATTCATAGCTTTTAACCCTCCGTTGGTTACACCTAAATAATGTACCAGAAGGATCACACAGTATCTAATTGATACTGTACAGTGTATGCATCATTTTCACGTCTTTCCAATGATTGATTTGACTGTTATAATATTTTTTTAATATTCTATGAGTAATTGCTTTGTATTTGGAATATTATAATTATGAATATAATTTAATTCTTAACAATAAAAAATGTTTTTTTGACATTGTTAGTAATTTTCCACAAAACAGGAACGGTCGCACTGTATAAATACAATACATAGTTATTTATGTATTTTGATACATAAATAACTAACTTTAAGTTTAGTTATAAAATACACCTGCCACAGCTAACCTGTAGACTGAGCGAATTTCCATTTGCCTGATTTGATTTTCAATTTAATTCTATTTAAATACATTAGGTTTGCTGCTACAGGGAGGGTAATAAAGTGTGTTTTTAGTAGAATATGAATAGCATAGTATAAAATAAATTAATTTACCAAGTTTGATCAAAATATATCCATCAATCAAACTGCAACAGTTTACAATATTTTCCATAAAATTAACATGGGAATTTTAAATTTACAATCTCTTGAATTTTCTCTTTAACCAATAAGCGTATTGTAGTATCCTTTATACTTTCTATGATCAGCTGTTGTTATTAATTATAAAACAACGTAGTTCAATATTTATCTTTACAATTTACCGACAGACCGCCACCGCCCACCACCGCGCCGTGCAGAACGCATCATACCGTGCATAGCCGAACTCTTCGTGGGAAATTGTTATCTCTATCACTGTCGCTGTCAAAACGTATCGTTTGTAGGTTAAATGTAAATGAATTTAACTGTCATAACCTAACCAAACTTGCTGACAGTGAAAATATCGAATGAAGGTTTACTAATAACAAAAATAGTTCTGTGCATAAAATAAAATTATAAATGTCTCATAATCAATTATATAATTTTTTAATTATAAAATTAAACTATCATAGCCTAACCAAACCAACCAAACTTGCTGATAATGAAAAAATCGAATCAATAAGTTAATGCCTCCGGTGAGTTTCGAACTGGTTACCTACGAATTATCAGCCCGGCGCGCTATAGATATAAAGTCAATGGCGCTATCCACTACACCACCGAGACCGATGGCTGTACAGCGTATCGTTGCGGTAATGGTGTTTGCTAGAGCGGTGGTGGGCGGTGGGGGTCTGTCGGTAAGGGTTTCTCAATTTACAGTTTATGAATAATACTTTTATTTAAAGAGTTTGATTAATTGCGTGCAATTATTAACTCTAATTCAAAGTCACAACACGTACAAAAAAAACTTTAACATGCTAAATTATTTTTTTTTAAGCTCTTCAAAATGGTCTAGAGAGAAATTGGGAAATTTGTGTTTCAAGGTCAAAAATGAGAAAAACTAATTTTTACTCCATAAAACCCTGTTACTATGGCCCGATCATGCTGGTTCGCAAACTCATTCAAGTTCATCCCGCCCTACACCTTCAATCCAAATTTCATTAAAATTGTACTAAGATTACTTTTATTGTGTTCACGGACACATATATATATCATATATATAATATATCATTTTGATTGGATTGTGTTTTTTGCCTCTGGGGACATATTAAAATTAAAAAGTAAAAGTAAATCGGTCCCGGGTCTATGTCTTACCATGAGACCTCTAAGGTAATAGCTACTACTCTATAGGGAAATTCGCTAAAATAAGGATAAATGCTAAGGAATGATGACAAACTATTTGTTTGTCATTTGCTCTGTAACAGTGTCTAATCATAATATTTCTTTGTTTGGACATATTTAAGAAATAACATCCATGAATCAAACACACACTGAATCAAAATGATACACACAGATATTTAACAGGGTATGTCGCACTGTGTCAAATTGATACAACTAAAAATAGTGCCTTGAACAAGGTCAAGTTTAACCACTGGCTGGTTTGGGCTAGCCCCACCCCCAAACTGGCTGGTACACCCAACTGCCCATTAGTGAGAGGATTGCAATCGGTGCGCACACGAAAAAATGGTGGCCGTAAATGTTGTTGTTTGTATCAAAATGATACAGTGTGACCGACAGAGGGTTAAAGAGGGGATTCCGATGGGAACTGAACTCACATAAGCAGTCTTCATGAGCATCTCATCCAGTTGAGGCACTCTGTAGCCGTTGTATTGCTTGACAAAACACTTGGCCTTGTCCAGATATCTTTCCACTGTTCCATCAGTCCACCATTGAGCCAAGTTTCCCAGACCATCGCTTTGGCGGCCTGGACAAACTCAACTACTTGGGTATGTTTGTGACTCATAAAAGTACAATGATTACTAGGGCAATTGACCTGAGCTCAAGTTAACCATTGACTTGATACTGAAGGCAATCTGAAATGCTATCTATTAATCTACCGTACTACTGTGTACACCACACTGCACCTGTGTCCAAAAGCGAATTTAAACCTAATAAACTTCCAAAGTTAGGGGATTTTATGATTTGTTTTGGTATTATACAAAAGAGTGAAGGGTGGGTAAGAAGAATTAGTTTTGATATCTGTTAACATGCTTAACAAAAGGATTTGTCATGATTCCACAATATTGACTAGAGTAGGCACATAGACAAGAAAAAAGCTGAAGGCTAAGTTCGCATACCTAATAAAGCTACTTTAAAAATTGAATGGGGTTTGTAGTTAAATAATATTATGCTAGGCCAGCAACAGCAAGTAGCATTTAAGTAACACCTGTTTACTAGTAAACGATGAAACACATCTATGCATACAAGATTACATGACTAAACAACAAATTTAACAGCTTTTTATGCCATTTAAGAAATAATAAGTTACCAAAAAGTTACATTTTACTTAAATAAGTTCAAATACCAATTATTTTTTAGCCCCCAGTTCTAATAAAACTATAATATAATATATCCTATATACTCTAATATGAGCTATGTATGTCTGTCTGTAATATATATATCGAAATCCAGCGGAAGCATTTTGACTAAGTTTTGGAATAAGGGACTTAAAGCCCTAAAAACGTGATTGGTGACAGCCACTACCTCAGGAAAATTTGTATTTCGCTACACAACTCATTTGAAAATTAAACATTAAGCTTATGGGTTAAGTATAACTGTGTTGGTTTGGTTAAACAAAATAACAAGGAAAAAGTAAACAAAAGACTTGTAACATGTGTTTATAACAAGCCATCCACAGTATACTAGCAAATTACAATATACAGTACAAAGGGAAACACATCAGTTAGTGTAACTATTGAGTAAAGATTACTGAGATTAAGACTGAAGATTACTCGATATAGGGGAAAATAGTTGCGATCAAATACTGATTATTTAACTCGGTCCTCTCCCACAAAAACGTAACGCCCGAAGTACTGAGACATTCCAAGTAAACTAATTACATCTAGGGTTTTAAATTGGCATAAAACTATTACTGTTCCCTAAATCTCAATGAAAATCAGACAGAATCTTAAATTTCTTTAGAAGTAGTATGAAAAATCTTTGTCACAAGCCAGCTTGAAACCAATATGATTATATCATATTTTTATCTGCTGTCATTGGTGAGCATAAAGGTCAAACAACGGGATTCAATGACATTTACGTTACATTTGTTATTATTTCAGCGATCAAATGTCTATGGTTTGTAATAAAAGTGTTTTTGTAAATTATAAAATGTCTGTTTACGATCTTGTTTTAACTATTAATTAAACCCAATAAACCACAACCGAGCAAGTCACGGTCCCCTGGTACTAACACTTAATGCTTTACTTACCTAGATCATCAAAAGCATGAGTGATTTCATGACCAATAACCACTCCTATTCCTCCATAGTTAAGAGCTCTGCAAAAGTTAGCATTTTAATACTTTAATTGAAATAACAAATTTTACATCCAACTTAACACACCTATCAATCACTCACCATCTATAATATTTGTTTGGATCTCTACTTTTTTTTATTCAAATCAGAGGCAAATTGACTGACAATTTCATTAATTTTACATTATGTAAGAGATGGCACTGGACAATTGATTTGCATCAATAAACAAAGATTTACTACGTAATTTATGTTGGTTTAGTTTCTTTAGATAAACCGGATCAAATACTGTATTACATTTTGGATTCTTTTTGAGAAGTTGACAACAGAATTTTTTTTAATTGTAATAAAATACCTTAAAATTGTAAATTGATAATCATCACAATAACCAAAAGGCATTAGCCAATTCAATACAGGATACATATTATGTTAGCAAAAATTAAAAATAATCTCACATTAAAAAATAAACTTACTCTGTTCTGCCCTTGCCAAAAAATGGAGGTTGAAGTATACCCGCCGGAAATACTACAACAGAAATTATTATAGATCTTAAAAACTATGCGATATTAGAACAAAATTATGTTCTTGAACCTTATTTATTCTTGTCAGAATTAATGTATGACTTACGGTGCTTACAGAAAATGATAAAAATTTCATAGTGCTTCAAAAACCTAACTGAGCCACCAAAGGTATCTGACAAACTATTAGTTGTAGAGAAAACCGTAAATGTATGTGGGGTTCATCTATGAATAAATTAAATTCATAGTATATATGAATTATCCAATAGGGCGGCTAAATTTAAAATTTCTTATAGCGCACCCTGTATTTTATAGTAGTTTTAGAACTAGAATGTTATTTCAAGGTTTTTTACTTTTGTTTTGACATTTTCTTAAAGAAACGCCTACTCTTTTATGGTGTGCTTATTTTAAATAACGATTATCTGATTAAAAGATAGGACATTTGCCAGGAATTATAACGGAAATTGACAGGAAAGCAGGCTTACATTTAAATAAGTCCATAGAGACACATAACATTTACAACACAAAAGGATAAATTTTCTTCAACGAACCACTACGGCAGTGTGTTGAGGTTGATGACATAAGATCTGACTGGGAGACAGTTATTGTGGTGTGCCTCAGGGGTCAATCCTTGGCCCTCTGCTGTTTGTACTATACATAAATTACTTGAGCTCAGTCCTCACACACTGTAAATACCTCATGTATGCTGACGGCTTACAGATTTATACACATTTTTCAGCAAAATATATCGACAGTGTTCTAAAAATCAACGAAGACATAGAGAAAATCATAACTGTACTTGGACTGATAAACATGGACTTACACTAAATCATACAAAACAAGACCAATCATAATTTGTAATTCACGTTTACGAAACTCAATTGACTTTGACACAGTGAACTCAGTAAATATAAATGGAACAGCTTTACTTTACTAAGACAAAGTGAAAAATCTAGGACTTACTATAAACTCGACGCTTACTTGGGGAGATGCAAGTAGTAGACATACGTAAAAAGGTGTTTGCATTTCCACTCACTGAAGATGTTACAGAATTCTTTACCTTTACAAATAAAGTTACACCTTGTAAAATCACTTGTCTCACTTTACTTACTGTAACTCTGTGATCAATGACATGACTGTAAGCTTGCTGATGCTCTCCAACGCGCTCAGAACTACTGCTTAAGATTTGTTTATGATCTAAGACGTAATGAGCTTATCACTCCTTTTTATGTTGATTCTAAATTACTAAAACTATTTGATCCAAGATCAATAAAAACTCTTTTGAAATCTATTCAATATTAAAAACAAATGTTCAAATATATGTTTTAAATTATTTTAAATATGTAGCTAATGAAAGTGTAAAGAACTCACATTCTGCTTCAGTAACTTTGCGTATGCCTCATCATAGAACAACAGTTTATGACAGAGCGTTTGTTGTTACTACTTCTCACCTTTGGAATGATCTCCCTCTAGCCATTAAAACCCTTAATAGCCGTCCCCGGTTTGTGGCAGTACTAAAAAATCTGTTTCCTGGACGTATGGCCATGGTTGGTATGTCCTAGGCGAGCGCTTGGTTGTTCACTGACAGGTGTGCGTGTCGGTGTGCAAAATACAAATTCTTGTTTTTTTTACGTTAAATATTGTAAATAGATTGTAGGATATATTGTACAGTATATGTTTAGATTTTTATCCACAGGTTAAGTGTAAGAGAGGGCCATGTGGCCCTAGCTTTGCCTGTTTAAATCAATCATTTTCATTTCATTTTTTCATTTCACTGGTGAAAATTTGGTTTTCTCCAGTGGTTGAACATTTCTACTTTTGTGTTGTATATATTATGTGTCTCTATGGACTTATTTAAAAGTAAGCCTGCTTTCCTGTAAATTTCCTTAATTATTTTAAATAACAGTGTTTACTATATTTAGAAACTTACTAATGGCATTAAGTTGAAAATCAATATATGCATTAACAACGGCTGGACTTGCAGACCACCTGTAAAAGATTTTGATTTGATTACTCTAATGTAACACACACAACATAATAAAAAGCCAAAATAGGTCTTATACAGTAAAATATAATTACAAAAGTTGCAATAAATTAATCTACATTAAACACATAAATACAAACTTACTCATATCTGTCAGTCGGCTGTCGGAGTTTTGTAAAATGTTTGAGCACTTGGAAATGTTTTCCCTTTTCAACATTTTCCAAATGATCTGCACCAGCTGTCAACTGCAAGTAATCAATTCAAATTTAAATATGTAGTAGGTAGAATATTATGAATCTAGCATTATCTTAATTAGTAGGCTTACGGTGCAATTAGACCTAAACCTCAGTATCCAAAGTGAAAGCAAACTTTTTAACCAAACTGTTCAGTGTTCAATATAGTTCCCGTATCGTTTGGTAAGTAGTTTTTTGAGAATCAGGTTGAGGTGGGGGTTATGTTGAAAAATTAGTAGCTTTTATTTGATTGAATATTTAAAAAACTATTATTGTATATTAAACACCAACTTTAAGAACAGTTATTTATTAACAAGTTTAACAAGGTTCATAATGTAAAGATATAGTAACTCTAACTGAAGTCTTATTTTGTTTGTTTTGCATTTATAATAAACAAAGAACATTTAATTTAATATTATCAGCTGATTGTATGTACAGGATATAATAATCTTCCCTGGGAAAGAATCAGCTTATTACCTCTTCAGTATTCTCTGAGATCTTCTTATTACAGATGATGGATAAAAATTTTTTGTCCTGTGTGATGCTTGAGGAGAGTCATTTGGTTTGTTTACCACTTGTGCATGTTTCTGTGACTCAGACTCTGAGGCTTCAACGGACTGTTCATTTAAAGATACTAGTGTAGAGCGCATTTGATCAACATGACATTTAACCATTAAACCTTCAACTTCAACTTCATAATGGCAGTTTCCTAATATTTTGACCACCTTACCAAATTTCCATTTAGGATGATTACTTCTGTAGTCTCGAACTTGAACGTTATCGCCGGTGCTAAAACATCTTAAGGCACCAACGCCTTCTGTGTCAGAGATCCTTTTCGCCTTTAGCAGATCAATTCTCGTACGTATACTCCGTTTGAACATCATCTCCGCAGGGCTTCTTCCTGTGCTTATGTTCATAACTTTACGGGTTTGTAGAAGGAATCTACATAGGTTTGTATGGATGTCTCCAGATTCTTCAGCTATTGCACTTAGTTTTCTTTTTAGAGTTTGTACATAACGTTCCCCTTGTCCATTTGACGCTGGGTGATATGGTGCCATCAGTTTATGTTGAATACCATTGGATTCCATAAAATGTTTAAATTCATGTGAAATGAACGCAGGACCATTATCACTAACAATTGTACTTGGAATGCCGAATCTTGCAAACATTTCTCTTAAGATTCTTATAGTGGAGAAACTAGATATGCTTTTTGTTTCCTTTACCTCCAACCACTTTGTATATGAATCTACTGCTATGAAAAAGTATGTACCTCTGAATGGTCCTGCATGATCTATGTGCACCCTTTCCCAAGGAATATTGGAGTTTGGCCATGGTTCATGGTACTTCGGAGGATCGTTTTTATTCAATGCACATGGTTTACATGAATTTACATAGTTTTCTATGTCAGAATTCACTGTAGGCCACCAACAATACTGCCTGGCTAGTTCTTTCATTTTTGTTATGCCTGTGTGAGCTTCATGTAGTTCTTTCAGAATAGTTTTTCGTAAAGCACATGGAATTACAACTCGAACTCCTCTAAATAAACATCCGTTTTCAATTGACAGTTCTCCCTCTAAACCTTTGTATTGTTCAGGCTTCGTAATATAAGAGGATGTCATTAGTGCATTGTATACCAACTTTAATTCTGGATCGTTCATAGTTTCTCTTCTTACTTCATTACTTGTGACAGGAAGGGAATTCAGTTGTACTTGTAAAAGGTATTTGTCTGATACTGTTTCATCTAAGGTTTCTTGATGATCACATGTATTGTTAACAGGAAACCTTGATAGGAAATCTGCGTTGACATGATTCGATGCTTTACGATACTGTATTTCGTAGTCAAAACCTGACAGAAATACAGCGTAGTGTAACATTCTAGTGGCGGTTAAGGGTGGTAGGCATTTTGAGGGATGGAAAATAGAAGACAATGGTTTGTTGTCCGTTATAAGTGTAAACTTTCGACCATAGCAGTAATGGAAAAACTTATGAACACCCCAGTAGATCGCAGTCGCTTCCTTAATAATGTGGCTGTAATTTTGTTCTGCTTTACTTAATGTCCTTGAAGCAAAAGCTATAGGTCGTTCTGTTCCATCCGGCATCTTGTGAGATAAAACAGCAGATAGTCCATGAGGCGAAGCGTCCGTTGCCAGTATCAGTGGTAGGTTTGGTGAAAATGTTGTAAGAACCCTCTCTGTTGTGATTTCCTTCTTAATGCCCTCAAAAGCATCATTACATCGTTTTGTCCATGTATAGGTTTTCTTCTTATGTAGCAGCTCATATTATGGATGTATCTTAGTTGCGAGGTTGGGTAGAAACCTGTGATAATAGTTTACAAGCCCAAGAAACTGCTTCAATTCAGTAACGTTAGTGGGTATGGGACATTTCAAAACAGCTTCTATTTTATCATGGCTCTTATGCAATCCTTTTCCATCAATTTTGTATCCTAAGTAGTTCACAGACTCTTGAAAAAACTTACTTTTATTCTTGTTTATGTGCAAGTTGTTTTCCTTCAAACGTTCCAACACCTTGATCGTGCGTAGTTTTGTTTCTTCAATAGTTCTTCCTTGAACTATTATATCATCAAAGAAAACAGCAGTACCTTCCAGTCCAGTTAAAACTGAGTCCATGTAGCGTTGCCATATGTTTGGAGCTGTTTTTATTCCAAACATAAGTCTATTTACCTTAAAAACTCCCATATGAGTACTTATGGCTTGAAGGTTGGCACTATCATCGTCCATTTGAAGGTGTAAATACGCCTTGTGTAAGTCCAAAGTTGTAAAGTATTGCCCTCCATTTAACTTGTCAAATATCTCTTCAATCCTGGGAATAGGATAGTGATCATTTTGCAGTTGGGAATTTACAGTTACCTTATAATCAGCACATATTCTTACTGTTCCGTCTTCTTTCAATATAGGTACTATGGGTGTTCCCCATTCTGAATTGGTTACCTTTGAAATGATGCCCTTTTCTTCCAGTAAGCACAATTCGTCTTCTATTTTAGTTTTTAATGCAACAGGAGGGACACGGTATTTAATAAAAATGGGTCTTGAATCAGGCTTTAATGGAAGATTTACTTGTTTATCTGGTGCAATTCCTACTTCTTTTGTAAATAGGGATTCATATGTGTCAAAAATGTCTTGTTTTATATTATTTTCCTTTAGGATGTTTTGCTTGTAAGAACTAGGACTCGCCATGTGATTTACGTCATGAATAGATATGTCAAAGTTACGAATCCATTCGCGCCCAAATATATTATCAACATTATTCTGTACAACAAAAATTCTACCTACCATTGTTTTTGAACCTAACTGAACTTTAACTTCACTTGTTCCAGTTAACTTAATGGATTCCCCTGTGTAGGTTTTTAGCTTAACATTTGGGACTTCTGTAATTTTCTTGTGTGGGAATAATCGTTTGAAGGTACTTAATGACATAGATGATACAGCAGCTCCCGTATCATACTCCATTGAGCATTGTACTCCATCTAGAAGCGGTGTTACTAAGTATTTGTCATTGAATTTGGATGACAAAGAATTGAGCTGTAGCTCTTCAGTGATAGTGAAAGAATTACTTGTACCATCTGTTTCTTCATTTTCACTGGAATAATCTTTATCCGTAGAGTCCATTTGTTTTTGAAATGCCTTACCTTTGTTCATTTTACTCGCCTTCAAACAAACAGCAGCAGTATGACCCTTACCATTGCATGTAAAACAAGTGGCATTGCGTAGCTTGCATTCATTTGCTTTATGGTTAGATTTACCACACCTAAAACACTTGCCTTTCAAATCATCTATTGATACAAAGCTGTCGGATTTTGATGGGTTTTTTGTGGTTTTACTGATTTTATTTACAATAGCTGGTGATGACATTTCATTGTTACCTTGTTTTGATATCTCGAAAGATAAGGCTAACTCATACGCCCTTTGTAAAGTCAAGGAATCTTCTTGTAGAAGCCTTTCTCTTATCTCTTTGCTGTACAAACCTCTAATGAACTGGGTGCGTAAGTGGGTGTCAATCGTACTGGATTTGCATTTTGAACAGGAAAAATTACAGTGTAGAGTCATGCTACGAAGCTCTTTCATGTATGTGGAAATAGATTCACCCGATTGTTGTGAACGCGTGTAAAACTTATGTTGTTCAGCAACTTCATTTGGAGTTGGACAAAGGTAATCTTTGAGTAGCTTGACCAGTTCATTATACGATTTAGTATTTGGTAAGTCTGGGGCGCATAAATCATTTAAGAGTTGAAAATTCTTTGGACTAAGGCAGCTAATTAACACCTGCACGCGTGTTTTGTCATCATCCTCCCCCCCTAATCCATTCAATTCAAGATAGTTAGTGAGCCTAAGTAAGTAGGTTGTAAATGTTTCATTACCTTCATCATAAGGTTCCAACTTTTGAAGTGGGGGACGAATCTTTTGTTCCTTTTCTTCACTAAACTTCTCTTGTAGATATAACAGTAATGCTTGATTTATTTCTCTTTGAGTCGTCGCCATTATTGTATATTAAACACCAACTTTAAGAACAGTTATTTATTAACAAGTTTAACAAGGTTCATAATGTAAAGATATAGTAACTCTAACTGAAGTCTTATTTTGTTTGTTTTGCATTTATAATAAACAAAGAACATTTAATTTAATATTATCAGCTGATTGTATGTACAGGATATAATAGCAGGGTGTCTACCAACCGGGAAATCCGGGAATTGTACTTAATTTTTACTGGCCATGAACTGTACGGGAATTGTCCTTAAATGCCAGACTATGTCCTTAAATTTTTAATGGGCCATAATTTTATTGATCGCTAGTTGGTTAGGAGCACATAAAAGGTTTATCAGATGTTTGTTTACATTTTCATAATTTATTACTAGAGTAATAAAAACCCCCAATAAAAACCAAATATGCAATAAAAACCCCATTAGCATTCTCAAACCCATTAATATTTTATCACGACAATCAAGTGTCAAATCAAGTACTTCCAAGAACTGTTGATTCAGTAGTAGTTTAGCTCAT